CTGAAAAACATTAATTACAGCTTTGAAACTGCCAGACTTGTCTAATATCATATTTGCTATTGGCATGCATTCATTTTTACTAATGAACCCTTGAAACCAAATATTTTCTGGAAAAAATAAAGTATTAGAAAAACGTCTTACTGCATCACTACCTGTAGGCAGATCCAAAAGATAGATTTCAGAGTTGACACTTAAGAATTGCTGCTCTGTTCCATAGTCTTTATTTAGTGGAATTCCACTGGGCTTGATTTCCCCCATGTTGTTCAATGCTGACATGAGACCTCTAGGTTGAAATTCTGGATTCTGGAGTTGAAATATCATGAACCACATACCACTCTCCTCTTTTTCATCTGGTCTGGAAGAGTCTGTGGTGTACTGAAATGGCACTGAAGCTCAATTAGAAACATAGAAACAGAGTGAGTCAGAAGGGGCCTCCTGGGCCATCTGACCCCCAGCTCCAGCCTGTTCTGCTCACAACATGCAATTAATTAATACAAGTTATTGTGAGTGGCCCATCTGACCATCATGATCAACCACATTTGGATGGAGTTACTCTCGCTTTTAAGGATCAATTTCATAATTTGGACATACTTCTTGATCTATGTTTGGTTTGGCCTCCAAAGGATCTGAAGGTCATTGGGTTGGAATGGATGTACTGCAGGGATTTGTGGTTCATTACAGAATTTCTGTGGGCATGTGGACGGAAGTCTTGGAGGGCTAACCATTTGTATAATCAGTTGTCTCCCACCCTGGCTAAGTATATCGGCCAGCTTGGAATGGTCTGTCTCAGAAAGTAGAAACCTTTAAGGACTTGTTCTAAGAGGAAAATGTTGCATTTGTGTCAAAGTAGGTAGGTGTACACCTCATTGAAAAAACCATTTCTAGACTTTCCGAGTTAAGATAACCACCACCCAGTGTCATATATTTCAACTCATGGACAACGGGACTGTGAATGTTTCACCCAGAAAATCTGGGTGAAATAATTTATCTTGAATCTTTTTCTAATCTGGTTCCAGCCCAGTTTCAGATCAGAAACTGCCTGTTTCACCCTAGTGGATTATTTGCACCAAGAGATTGATAGGGAATGCTACCCTCTTTATTTCTCTAGGTCTCTCAGTAGTACTATTCTTCTGAACTGCTTTTCCAGGGTTCTCAGAGAACACTATGCTTAGGTGGCCCTGATTATCCCCCTGAGTGGTTGGGGGAGTCTTTGGGAGATGATGCTAGGGGGATGATGCTAGGGGGATGATGCTGCACATTGATTAAAAATGTTAACAACAGCAGCTTAAACCAGATAAGGCAGAGGACTTACGAAACCATATATTGGTCAGGGGACCGGTTAGCCTAAGGATAGGCATGCAACCTGTCTGAGCTGGGATAACATTCCCTCTTAAGTAGAAAAACGTGTAGCTGTTTCCAAAAGGTGGTAATAGCGACTAGGGTGATTTGTCCAGCTTCAGCTAGCATGGCAGCTACAACCTTCTCTAGAGAAAATAAACCTGGCCACAGTTACTTACATGTCATTACATGTCGCATGTGCAAACAAGGCTACTGTAACACACTTTATATGGGCTGCCTTTGAATAGCATTCAGAAGCCTAAGTTGATTCAAAACACTCTCACCAGAGTTTTTATAGGACAGACTGGCTGGACCATATTGCTTTCAGTCCTTTGTGGCTTTATTTAATAACTTTTGTAGGCCACATTCAAATTGCTAGTTCCTACTTTTGAATCTCTAAATAGTCTGGAACCTGGGCATTTAAATGAGTGTTTCTTCCTGCCTTCTCTGGAGATTCTGCTCCAGATTCTCCTGCTGACTGAGGTGCAGCATGTAAGCCCAAGTACCTTACATTTGTAGTTGTCGTGCCCTCCTAGGAAAGTGGAGGCTTTATTTTTGTTTGGCCATCTCATTATGACCTGGCTTTTAAGTAAGGTTTCGGTGGAGGCTGTTTGGACTGGGTTCTCAGAGCTGTGGTGCTGGGGTTCTGCTAACTGCTTTTGTGCTGGCTGTCCTCAGGCTGAAATCTATTTATCTGATTTGAGTGTTGTATTTTCTGTTAGTCACTGTGACTATTTTGGGGGGAAGAAAAACAAGATAATTTTAATAGACCACAACTACCTATGATGGCTTACATTGCCCAAGAAATCTTACTCACTGAGTGTAGAATATCCCCTTAATATAGAAATTGGCTGTCCATGTCTTAGAACTATCTGACTATGTTATGTGAAATACACACATATTTTTTTTTTATCAGAAGAGCTTCACAGTGTATAATTATTCTGAAATCTGTGAATGCTGAAGTCTGCAGTGTCATCTATGCAGTATTTAAAACCAGGCAGCTGATTATCTCTTTATTGCCAGGAAGACTTGGGAATGCTGCTGAATGCAATAAGATAGCTTAAATTTCACTCCCACTAAACAATACTCTCTCTTTGTTGTTGTAGTTGTTAGACAAACCAAGAAAATATTGTAGACAAGCTTTGTTCTGCCAAGGTGAGAATGGAGCCTTTCTAGCTATAGATTTTTACTGAAGTGAAAAGGAGAATACATAAGAGTGTCGGGAGAGAGGCAACCAAATCTGTTGTCTGTCTAGGACAAAAGCATGACTCTAGAGAAAAGACATGGCCGTGTGCCAGGAATGATCAGATATGTGAGGTGGATATCCTTCGGAGTTAGGATTTTACATTTCTGCAGGTGTTGGTCAACATGTTAATACAGAAGCTGTGTTGTGATATTGATTTTCATAGAGTACCAGCTAGAGGAGAGGATGGATGGTTTAAAAATACTCTTACATGCCATTATAGCTGCTTCATTTGATAACTGACATTTACTTAGACACAGTATTTAGGAAGCTTGACATGGGCACAAACACTTGCCATGTGCAGACATTTTTATTCTTGTATCTGTTTGTTGGTTTGGCAGATCATTTAGATTTAAAACTTCTGTCTCTTTTGTATGTATGAACCCTGTACCAGTATAAGCTTACACCTGTAACTCATACTATGATGTCAGTACAACAATTTGTGTGTATAATATACATATGGTATCTTTCTGTGTGTTAAATGAAAAATAAAACTGTAAACTGCATGGTAAGGGGTACCTGGCTATGCATGTGTAGGCACAATTTTGATCTATTCTAATAATTATTTCCTTTTCCCTTGCAGCTGAAGCTTGAAGACAGGTCAGTGGTTCCTCGAGATGTCGTCAGGCATATGGGCTCACATGTAAGTGCTGCTATTTTTGTGTGTAGGTAGAGAAGGAAATCAGTGCTTCATGTTTCAATAGTGGTAAGACCATAGGCTGAATTTGCAACACAGAAAGTATTTGGCACTAAATGTGATCTGATTATATTGTAAAATATATTTGCCGTTTTGAACACAGTAATCTACAGCTCAGAACTAAAGCAATGTCTTAACACACTTGAGCAACAACTGCAGCTGAGGCCAGCCACATTAAAATGCATCTTATGTATTGAACATTTTGGCCAGAATAGCAGTGTCAGCACTGGAGATGCATTACTCTTTCCAAACAACCCTCTTGTTCAGATGTTGATTTCTGCAGTGAGCAGTTTGCTCTGTACTGTTCCACAGTTTTCAAAGAATTATAACCAAAAAATTAAAAGGTGAATTTAATTACATAGTTGTTGTTTGTGTCTGATGGGTACACTTATTCAGGGTTCAGTAAACACATTTCCCCATGGCAACATGCAAGCATGAAATCCCAAGTTGGGCAGTGGAGGAGGTTTAACAGTCTCTGAAAAGGTCCAAAATGGAATTGGACTGGGGAGGAGGAATGGCTTTCAGAGACACAGTGAAAGACATAAAATAGCCACAACAAACTGACATACTTCTGTTATGCATTTAATTGCCTTACATTAAAAGTACCTGAAGCTGATTGGTGTTCAGGGTTAATTTAATGGTGCTTAACTGTACAGCAGACCCCTAGCAGACATATTGTATCTGTAAGGCTGTTTGTGTACCATTGAAGGCAGATTTGTAACACATTGAATGTTAGTCTGGCTTTATTCCCTCACTTTAATTCAGATATCTAAAATTAAAAATCTTAACTTCTCCTTCAATAGCAACAACAACAACGTGCTGCATGGTGTTGTGAAGAGAGGAAAAAATGTGAATCTATGTTATGTGAATCTACACTTGCTTAAAAAAACAGTGGTTGTAACACTTGATATGTAGTCATTCTGTTTCAGTTTTGTTTGTTAAGTGATCATGGAGATGGCTGAACCCATTTCTGAGAACTCAAAATCTATTTTTATGCTGCAGTTAACACCCCTGTGTGCATTCATGCTTCTAGTGACCACAGAGCATTCTATACAGGGAATGACTAACAGATCACTATTTTGTGTCCTGTTAGTCCCCATTCTCAAAAGCAATGACAAAGCAGCAGGAATCATGCAAGGAGAGAGACAACACGATTTAAAGGATGTTAAGAGTGATTACTTAAGCCTGCAAAAAGTGCTTTGCTCTCTAAAAGAGCATGCGCTGACCACAGTCTGTTTTTAAAAGTAAAAAGGATAATGCAGCTTAAAAATGGGAGAGTGGGATCATTAACTATTGGTCAACCGGAAGTTGCTGCAATAATATTTGCATTTATTAATGAGCACAACCCAATGCTGGAATAATGTTGCACAATACTTTGACCTTCTCTGAATTCTTTTGCACTCTAGTCAACCTGCATTGTGTGTAAATACACAGCACTGTAGCTTACACGTTCTCAGGAAACCTAGGGTATTTGCTGCCTCATCATGCAGGAAAATTATTTCAAGAGTTATTCTAAGCAACACTAGATGACACATGTCCTGGTCTCCCTTTCTGTCCCTGCTACTTTACGGCAGGCCAAGATGCAGCTTTGGGGGTTAAACCATCATCATATTGGTAATAAACATAAGAAGAGGTGTGCTAGATCAAACCAAAGACTTATTCAGTCCAACATTCTGTTGCAACCATGACCAGCAAGCTGCCTGTAACAGGCCTATAAGCTGGACATGAGCACAATAGCCCTTCCTGCTCATTTGCCTTCAGAAGCTGACATTCAGGGACATGCTTCCTCTGGCACTGAAGATAATATATAGCTACAAGAGATAATGGCGTTCTTGGTAGTACCCCCTCCACCTATCCACTCATTGAACATTGTGCCACTTGATGCCTGCCATGCCCCCATCATTACAAACCTCCAGGTGGACTCTAAAATTGACCTGATTACTTTGGCCTATAATAAGTTAGATGTTTCCTACCAGATTTTATCTTTAACATTATCATTGTTTGTATTGTAAGTCTTGTCTTGTTATGTTTTGTATGCGTAAGGCTTTTTGTTGCCTGCCATCTGGGGAGCATTTGCCCTAAAAACCTGCTTATAAATCCTCTAAATAATGCAATAATAAATAAAAATAATGACTAGTAACCACTGATAGCCCTATCCTCCATGAACTGATTCATTTATTAAGTAGTGCCAGCCCTCCAAAGCCAGTATGTGCTTCCATTAATAGACCTAGTCCTTTGGGTTTAGCTACAGAAGCCAGTAATGGATTGTGCTCATTAATAAATGCAAATATTATTGCAGCAGCTTCCAGTTGACCAACAGTTAATGATGCATCTTGGTTCTTACTTCCTTAGTGGGCCCAGCAGTATGCAGGTACAAGTAGTCTGGCTGAGCAGTGATATTGAACACTTATACTTGCTTTTTCTTTTGAAGCTCAAAGTGACAATAAATAAGGTTTATTATTTTAATTAATGCTTTGTTCTGATATTTGTTCTGCAAATGGGGAGTAAAATAAATGCTGTTTATAGGCTTAAATTAAAGTGTTGAAAGGGTGCATTCATGCTATTTCTTAACACTCTAACGTTGATACACACATTATCCTCATATTGCAGATGTCAGGGCTGAGAGAATATTGACTTTGTACCAATTTATCCCACAAATATTATTATTTGATTTAATATATAAATATGCATTAAGTTAATGTATAAATTTACTTCATACACTAAAGTATAAATATACTTCTCTTTATCTGAGTGCTTGCTTTCTCTAAGTACTGATAGAATCTAGTCAAAAGGGTAAGGTTATCTGACGAGTGAACTGCCTACTTGCAAAGATGCAAAGTCATGTAAGATGGGTTCCAGAGAAGGGTAATGTATTCAGAAAAGGACTTGCCTTAATTCTTCATCTTATTATGCTGTTTTTCTGTGGTCTCAGATTCTTGTTCTAATGATAAAATAGTAGCTGGAGCTTGCAGGACTGTCAGGTTCAGTTTGGGCACACCTTGAGAATGTGCTGCAGTTTCAAAACCCTTTCTTTGCCCTTCCAGGACAGCCAGTGTGGGACAGTTATTGATGTGAATATAGAGTGTGCAGTAAAACTGGTGGGGACCAACTGTATCCTTTATCCTGTCAACAGCAAGGATCTTCAGAACATCTGGGTGAGAGTGCTTAAAAGTACTTGTTCTAGCACAGCAGGAATGCTAGGAATGGCCTGAGACATTGTGCTGCCTAAAATGAAGGGCAAGATGATGACCTTCCCATTTCATTCCCAAAAGACTGGACTTATAGTAGAAGTGTCCTCAACACTGGAAATGGGACAACATCCTTTATCACACCTGAAGGCAGCTGGTTAGGTTAGGGGGGGTCACAGGGCAGGCCACACAGTACACAACAACGCTCTCCTCTAACATCTTTCTGCCACCCCGCAGGATCTGTCATCTGAGTCAACCACTTCACTCTGCCTGTTGGTAGGGCCAGCCTGAGCAAAACTAAAAACTTAGCAGATTTAATCCTGATTCAGCAGGAAAGATATTGCCTCCCTATGTACAGCCTTGTCCTAGAGGGTGTTTCAGTTTTAAGCCAGAAATGGGGAATGTGTGTTCCTCTAGATGTTGTTGGACTGCAGCTGCCTTTATTTATATTTGTACATTTATATGCCATGCCTCTTAGTTGGAGGCTCTCAGGGTGGGTTACATTAATTACTTAATTAATGTTGTATTTTTCTTTCCAAGGAACACAAGGCAGCTTGCATAATTCTCCCCCTCTCAATCTTATCCTCTCAAGAACAACCCTTTAGGGTAGTTTGGGCCAAGAGGCTATGACTGGCTCCATGTCACCCAAGCAACTTAATGGTTGAGTGAGGACTAGAATCCAACTCTCCTGAGTCTCAGTCCCACACACTTGCACAGGCTGCCATTCCTTACCATTAGCTAAGCTCGTAGGGCTGAGGAGGACCACACTTTACTCTCCTCTGCTTTTATGGTTGCTTGACTTGGAAGTCAAATACCTTGAAGAACTGCCTTCTACCACACAAACCTGCTTGCATGTTAAGGTCATCTTCTGAGGCTCCTCTGTAGGTTTCCCTTATTTCCTGAGTTTAGGTGCATGACTTCTGGCACTCTCTTTGTAGAATGCTTCCCTGAGGGCCAACCCCACCCGCCATCCTTTTATTTTACGGTGCCAGAACAATATTTTGACTCTCCCATGCTTTAAACTACGTTGATTCTTTGCTAAACTGTTAAATTATTATTTCTCTGCTGTGTTATTGTTTTAAAATTGTTATTAGTTATCTGATGTTTCCAGAGTGGTGGTTTACAGTGGTATTGCAAAGTGGGATATAAATTTGTAAAATGAATAATGTAGCATGTTCATTACCACCATCTCTTTTGAATATGCAGCTGTTTCCTGTCAGAATAAGCTGGGAGTTAGTCTGGAACAAATGGGGTGAGAAGCTTCTGTGTAATGATTAGCCAGAGCGATCACTTGATCAAGGCAGTCCCATGGCAACAATATAATTCTGAGCTGCAGTGGTTAATACACTGTGTTAGCAAAATATTTAAAGGAACAAAGTATCCTCCTGTACACAGAATGCACAGGAATTGGCGGCCTGTAATTTCTGAGTACATTTGTTTGCTCTAAACATTTCATTCTTAATTTTTAAAAGTGTATTAGTTCAGTTGGACAGTGAAGTAAATGGTCTTGTCAGCAGTCTGAAACCTTCCTTAAAATTATGAGAAATACTGCAGTCCTGATTGCCACTGTTTTCACACTTTTGCAGAGGAATACAATTCTAAGCTGATCTTCAGGCGGGAGACACCATTGTTCTGTTATTTATTTTATTTATTTATTTAGAATATTTATATGCCGTCCTGTCACGACGGGACGGCATATAAGCTTGTTAGGGGCTGTCATTAGGTTTGAGCTGAAAAAATGTTCTCTATAGTTGTGACCAAGAGAACAGGCATCCTAACTTTCTTTTTCCCCCTTCAGCCTTTCATGTATGGTGACTGTATAGCCTATGACTGGTGGCTGGGAAAAGTATATGATTTAAAGAACCAGATCATTCTGAAACTCTCCAATGGTGCCAGGTATTTCTTTTGCTTCCCTTACAGTGCAATTTAATTCCAGCCTTCCCCAACCTAGCACCCTTCAGATGTTTTGGACTTCAATTCTCATCAGCCCTGCCAGCCTGGCCAATATTCAGGAATGCTGATAGTTGTAGTCCAAAACATCTGAGTGGTACTGGGTGGAGAAGGCTGATGCAGACTCTTAGTCTGCAGTTCGTGAGTAAACACCATTAACATTAGGTAGAATTTAACACCTGACGTACATTTATTGGATTGGAATGACACTTGAACAGTTGAAACTGGTGCTTCATGATATTGAGGAAGAGAGGCCAACTGACAGCTCATTGTTTGAATTTAGCTCTGAAGCAATTTTATGGCCCCAGCTATCCTTACTAAAGTCTTTAAGACAGGGGTCTCAAACTCAACTTACCTGGGGGCCGCTGGAAGTAGAGTCTGGGTGAGGCTGGGCCGCATCAAGCATTCCACCACCACGGTGGTGGTGGGCCGCTCATCCCGCGTCGCTCCCGGAGGCACTTTGAAGGCTGCAGGGCCCCTCCCCTGTGCCCCGCCTGGCCCAGCAATTGGCCCGCGGGCTGCGAGTTTGAGACCCCTGCTTTAAGAGATTCCATTATTGTTACATGTCTCTTGGATGCTATGGGTAAAAAACTCAACTTTTGCATCTGTTCTGAAGAACCTAATTAATCTGATTTTCTAAAGGAGTGGTGGGTAGGGTTTTTGTTTTGTTTTGTTTTGTTTTTTGCATGGGAGACAAGTTTAAAACCTCATGGCAGGGTGTATACTAATGCCTGCTCACCCCAGTGCAGTGCTGATAAGGTAAAACTGCTGTTTGACCACTGTCACTAGCAGAAAGGGAACCACTATACTGATCACGGGCAGGGAGAGGCTTCAGCACCAGTGATCCTGATGAAGAGCATAGAAGCAGGAGTCTTTCCCACAAATGGCCAGGCTTCCACAGCCTCCCAGAGAGCAGCCAAAGGGCTCCTGTAGCTTGCCAGTTACCCACTTACATTCTAAACCAGGGGTCCTCAAACTTTTTAAACAGGTCCAGTTGAAAGGTGCCGGTGATGGCTGTGAGCCGCCAAGGCAGTGTGGGCGGGGGGCGTGGGCCAGGGTAGGTCTGGGGGCACATGCGTGCGTGGCGAGGCAAGGTGCCAGCTTGCTCCCAAGGAGATCCTTTTCTCTGAGCAAGTCCAAAACGATCTCTGCATGAGCAAGCCCCCACCTCGCCACACACGCGCGCTTGTGGCGAATCCAAAACCATTATGGTGGGCTGGATAAATGGGCCTGGCAGGCCGCATCCGGCCCGCAGGCCATAGTTTAAGGACCAATGTTCTAAACTGTTGCTGTAATCCTGATGAATTTATAGGAGAGAGAGAGAGACCCCAGTAATAACCTTTGCTTTGGGAACTGCTAAAATAGTTAACCCTGGCCTGTAAGATTTCTCACAGCACCTTCTTTTCCATTCCTGCTATCACATATCAAATGGTTTATTAAAATATGATAACACTGACTGTAGACAATGACTGCAGTTTTTGTCTTTTGCTCCAGGATTGAATTATTAATTGCATTTCTATACCACTTTTCTGGAACGGAACAAAGTAGCTTACATCAATTCAAAAAACAAATTTTAAGCAACTGAAAAATTTTAAACATTGCCTTCCTAAATGGGTTAGGAATGTTAAACCAAGTTATAAGAGTACATTGAAACATATTTGACATGAAGAGAGCTATCCTATGTTTCTAACAGTTACTGTTCCTTTCCTTAGGTGTTCCATGAGCACAGAGGATGCAGCAAAACTCTATGATGTCTGTCCACACGTCAGTGACTCAGTAAGGGGTTTTGTGTCTTTATTAGAATAGCTTTCGATTTGCAGGGATGTTTTATTGTAGACTGTATGCCCCACTTATGGGAGCACCTCTAGTTGAAGGACTATCCTAAGCTGGGGATTAAAGTGCAGGTTTTACTGTTGCTGCAACAACAGTGGTTCAGTGGAGCACTGGTGAATGGTACCCTTTCATTTATATGGAAGAAAAATCTTGCATTCAGAACACTAGCATTACAGTGTTGACCCCATCTGAACTTTTTCTGATTGTAATCTGCTTTGTTTCATTATAATGACTTTTGCAGGCAGATTTTGGTCTTATCCTATTCACTTTTGCAAGCATTTTGCAATTGCTCTTTTCCTGTCCAAAATATGAATGGCTGCCATTCACTTTCATAGGAAGAGGTAAAATGATTCGCTATACCAATGCAGTTTCGGCAAGGCCTCATGTGTCTTCACTCATTTCCAGTACTGGATGTCAAAAAATTAAACCACTTCTCTCAAACATGGTTCCAGTGGGTTGGATATCCTTCTTACTACTTGTCTTCCTATAGCTTTGATGTTTCATGTGCAATCTACTTTTGTTTTCTCCTTTATAACTAAAGAAATGGACTCAGAAAATACAGTATATTGCCAGATGTCACGGGCATCACTGAAATCGTTGAGCACAAGTTAACAGTTGTATTTTCTATCATCATGAAATAGAATGTTCTGCTGTTTGATACTGAAATAACTCAGATATAACTAGCAATTATTTGTTTCTACCATCAGTCATAATTCTGCATACCTGACATTTTCCTAGTTGCCTTAGAAACTGCTACTGTGATTAGCTAAAGCAGGGGAAAGCACTTTGGGAGTGGAGAAACTTGCCACAAATGATGGCAGTAGGATAGGAATACAGAAATCCCATTCTACAGAGACAGAATATGGTCTAGCCTTACCTGGCTCTGACTTGCATTTCTTACTGTATTGCTTCATTTTTTTCAGGGCCTCTTCTTTGATGACTCATATGGCTTTTATCCTGGACAAGTTCTTATTGGTCCCTCAAAGGTTTTTTCAAATGTGCAGTGGCTTTCAGGAGTGAAACCCGTTCTCAGCACAAAGAGCAAGTTCAGAGTGGTGGTAGAAGAGGTATGGCTTAGGGCATTTGACAGTGTTGCGAGATCACTGTCTTGCCAGGCATTTTTTGGAAAACAAGTCTTGTTGTGTGCCTTCTGAAACAAATGTGTTGTCTTTGTTCCTGATATAAGCTTACAACAGTTCGAACTGTGAACCCTAACCCTTCCCTATTACTTTAGGATCTCGTTTAAATTCAAAGCAGTGTTGTTTCACGTTCTACTAACTGCTCAGTTCTCAGACTAAATCCCCAATCAGCTCCTGCAGTGAAAGGAAAAGTTTATTAAGAAAGTTACCTCCATTTTAGATTATATCAACTTAGATACTTTACCAAAATAGTACTCAGTAAATGTACTGTTTCCAGCTATTTAAGAAGCATGTGTGTGTGAATTATTTCCAAAAAAAAAAGCCCTATAACTGCTTAGGTCTGATATTTGTGGTTCAATTTGAAGGTGCAACTCTAGAAGCAGAATTATAGTTTGAGATGAACAAAAAGTATCAGAATATGTACCTGAATAATGCAAAAATGCTTTATCAGAAACTCTGAAACTGTTTAGCAAATGGCTTCAAAGTGCTATGTATTTGATATTAAATATAGTGAAATGTTTTAAGAGCATTATCTTCTCTTCTTACCCCATTTTTGTTTTCTAGGTGCAGGTGGTGGAACTGAAAGTTACTTGGATCACTAAAAGCTTCTGTCCTGGAGGTACAGATAGTATAAGCCCACCACCATCTTTAATCACCCAGGAGAATTTATCTAGGTAAGGAATACGTCATACTCCATATCCTAAAAGCTCTGCTCTTAATAAATTACTTTCTGCCTGTATGTTGCTGTCAGAACAGCAATAACAAATTTTCATGTAACAGAACTATTGCTACAAACTTCTGAAATGGGATGGTGAATGATCATCTGAACAAAATAAAGATGTCTAATAGCCAGCAAAGGACTTCATTTTAAGTCTTCCCTCTGGGACTTGCCTTTAGTGTCAGAATTCATTTATTCCAGGGCTGAAGTGAGTTTTTGGTGCAAAGGCAGTGAACAAACCTCAATCTAGAATTGCAGTTTGACCTCACAGTTCTAGGATTAACAAGAGTAGTTTCCATGCAACATGTCATTTCAATCAATCACTGTGCTTCTAATTTTACAAGTTAGCTGCTGAGTATCATTCTTCAGAAATTGCTCCTGGAAGGCTGCAGGATATTAAAGGAAATTCTGAGAAGACAAAGATGCATCTGAAAAAAAGTTAGCCTTGATGTGCTGCATAGCATGATGATGGAATTACAAGGTTAAACATATTTTAAATTGTGCAGAGTTCCTGTAGAAAACTTAATAACATGAAGCTGACACCATGGCAAGTTTTCCCCTGTTTGTGTGTTAAATAAACAGAATTACTTCAAAAATCTTTATTGTTTTATTCTGCACATCAAACCTTTTATACTGTGTTCAGAATAGGAGAATATTTCCCCTTTGTTCTGGATTAGCAATTTTTTTATTGTCAAATTAAGCCTAAAATGAAGAGTTGTCTCCTTTCAAATCCAGTAAGTTCTCACACTGCTACCACCTTGTTTGTACTTAAAAGCCCCAATGGATATTAGCCGATAGCTGACAAAAATCTCATCAGCCTACAGTGAGGTGATATTGCTGTCATCTTGTCTTTTAACAGAGTAAAGCGTTTGGGATGCTTTGACCATGCTGAGCGGCAACTTGGGGAAAGGTGTCTCTATGTTTTTCCTGAGAAAGTGGAGCCTGCAAAAATCACATGTGAGTGCCCAGAAAGAAACTGTGTCCTGGGAGAAGGATCAGTTGCCAAAAAGGTATGTATGCTGACGTTGCCTGGCTGAGAATTTCCAGCAACTGCTTCTATGCTGTCTGGTTTGCTCAGAATTTCTGTAGACTGTTCTGAATGTCTGTTAAGTCATACTTGCTTGGCCCTGGTACAGCTCCACTCAAGCTCATCTGTTGACCTTCTTAAACGTTGGAAAATGAGCTCTCTAAGTTGTACTGCCTCCCTGCAGCCCCTGCCATCTTGAGAGTATTTCGCCCTCCCTTTGCCCCACAGTTAAGAGAGAAACATAGAAACACAGAAGCAGAGCGATTCAGAAGGGGCCTCTCAGGCCATCAATTCTGACTCCGGCTCCAATCGTGACATGCCTGCCATGTGCATGTTCAGCATATCCTTGAACACCCTCACCAGCGTTGCTTCAGCTACCTCCCATGGAAGCCCATTCCATTCCGTAGGGGTCCTAACTGTCAGGAAGTCTTCCTGGCATCCAGATTGAACCTTGGTTCCCTGAGCTTTGCTGCACTCGAATATGTCCTGCCCTCTTCCACAGGGTAAAACCGGTCTCTACCCACCTCTGTGTGACACCCCCTCACATGTCGCCAACAGATCCCCTCTGAGTCTCTTCTCCAGGCTGAAAAGATCCAGTTCCCTCTGTCTCGCCTCATACTGCTTCTCCTGCAATCTGGCCACCATCCTTGTGGCCCTACACTGCACCGATTTCAGCCTGGCTATATCCTTCCTATAATGTGGAGCCCAGAACTGAACACAATACTCCAGTTGCGGGTGCACCAGAGTCATGTAGAGTGGTAGTAATACCTCTCTTGATCTAGAAGCCACACTTCTGGCTATGCAGCCAAGGGTGGTGTTCGCTCTCTTGACCACTGCATCACACTGCTGACTCATGTTTAGCCTGCAGTCGACCAGTACCCCGAGGTCCCTTTCACAAGTGCTGTTCTCCAACCACTTGTCCCCTAACCTGTACTCATGACACCCATTCCTATACCTCAAGTGCAAGACCTTGCACTTACCTGCATTGAACGCCCTCCTGTTGTCCCCTGCCCACTTCATAGTCTGTCCAGATCCTTTTGGATTCATAGTACCTGCTCTTCAGTTGGGGCCACCACCCCCAAGAACAAATTGCTCAGTGGCTTCAGGAAAGAGGTTTGTTTGTTTGTATCCTCCTTTTTTCTTACAACGAACTCAAAACAGCTTACATCATTCTGCTGCTGCTCCTCCCAGTCTTATCCCCACAACAACCACCCTGTGAGATAGGCTGGGTGGAGAGTCTGCAATTGTCCCAAAGTCACTCAGTTGGTTCCATGGCCAAGCAGAGACTAGAACCCAGGTCTCCTGAGTCCCAGTCCTGCAGTCTTAACCACTATATACCACACTGGCTCTCGTTGAGATGCACCACTGTTAATTGGAATTCAGACTGAGGAGGCTTGCTGACTCACCAGGATGCTTAACCATCCCCAAAGAATTAGTCCTCAATGAACTTGGCTAACTCTAACCGTGATTAACTTTGGTGTTAATGTATGTCAGCAAGTGGGGCTGGCTTTCAGAATGTGCTGCAAGAAGAGTATGTGGTTCCACAGTTAAGAAAGGCAGCCTTCTGTGATGCTGTGGCAGGAATACATACAACACTTGATCTTTTAGAGAAATTACATCTGTTCCATTGTTCAGGTGAGCTGACTGAAATGGTAACAACTGTCATAGGGTAAATTTACCTCTGTTAGCAACCTTTCCATGCAACAGAAGATCAGTCTGTGAGAGATTATTTGCAGTAACATTTTTTTAATAAGCTAGTTTTCACACGAGTGCTACATGTTTACATGGGCAAAGGAATCTGTGTCTCACCTCTGCTTTCAAATTCAAACCCTGTTGAAATCCTGAATGCTTAACCCTTTTAACAATCATAAATCTGAAATGGGGATCAACACAAAATTCACATTGCAGATGGCTGCTTTAATCATTTCAAATAGAAAAATGATTATTTTGTGGAAGGCATAGAATATATTGCATTACTAAAACTGTCTCTTTCTGTAATTAAGGGTATGTATCGACACATTCTCTATGAATGTTTAGGACTTCTTTCCCCATTGTTTATTACCTACATGGGTGTTGTCCTCAGAGATGATTCATGTGTTTCAAAGCATAAAATGGAAAAGCACCAATTCATAGAAAGATAATGCACTGATCTTTACAAATATCTGTCTTATGTTAAGCATGCATTTGCATGCTTAATAGAAGTCTTGACTTCTATTTTACTTTTTTGTCTTAGTGTGTTACTTTGTGGAAATGAAGTACAGAAAAGAAACCAGGCGAAGACCTTTTTATTCAAACGCTATTTTAATTGTTAACATTATCTATTTATTTTATTTTTCGGACCAGGTTGACTCATATTATATTGTTTTATTCTGTCCTTATTTATTTATTATTGTGAGCCGCCCCGAGGCTTCGGCGAATGGGGCAGCATAGAAGCCTTCTAAATAAAATAAATAAATAAATAATAAAAAACCATGCCATTAAAACTTTTCTTGAGCTAAGAGGCTTATGGTTTTTAATTTATTATAACAGCCTTTTCCCTTCTAAAGTAGTTCAGATCTTTGTGCTTTAGGTTTGGTATTGCAGTCAGTTATTCCATTTTTAATCAATTTGTTTTCCTTTGTTTACCTTGCATGTGGATGCAGCTTGTTCATTTTTTCATCATTTCCATCTCTTCAACAGCCATTCTTCTATATTAAGGATGTTAGTCCTTTCATTATCAGGCCCATATCATGTTGGCAGCTATTGTAACAATATTTTTGCTTTTAACATATTTCTTAATTAACTAAATATGAAAATCTATGTACCATTAGAAAAGTTATTTCTGTTTGTTATCATGATCAACAGTTTATCAATGTCTTCCAAATGTAGTAATAGCTTACACCTTTTTTTACTTTAGTTTGTTGACGGAAATTATATCTAATCTTAGTGGAATATTCCTAGCTCTTCTGCTAATAGGCAGCTCTGTGTCTGTTCTGAAAATATTAATATAATCAGAGTTGGATTATCAAGACCTTCAAAATTTGACCCACCAAACCAAACACAGCCTACAGCCCTTGCATGATGGCTAGTCTGTTGTTTGATAAATCTGAGGCTGTAAAAAGAGGGAGACTGTTTGTTAAATACCCAGCAGGCCACAGTACTAGGCTTTCTGGATTACAGCTTTTGCAGCTTTCCTCAGTGGTTTCATGTGTCAAAAACAGTGATCATTTTCCCTCCAAAATCAGTGTCTATTTCTGAGACAAATATAAATATTCTGAATCTCTGTTCTGGACTGTAATTTGAATACTAGAGTACCAAAATTGTGGGTGGTTCCTCTAGACATATTTTACTTCTGTAGATATCCCATGCTTTCATCAATAATACCAACATTATGGTGTTTAATATTGCAGATGTCCTGTCCTTGTTTCGTATCCAACGTAAAGCCTGAAAAGGTACTGTACCAAACACTTGTTCTGTATCTGAAACACCATGCTTTCAATTAATGTCCTCCTAAGATCCATTTTAAGTAGTTAGTGGCTCTAATATCATGTAAAGCCCACCTTTTTCTTCTGAATGATTTAACATTCTAAATGTTTCTGTGTTCCCATCTAAAACTCAGTAGCAAATTTTGCCAGTAGCAAATACTACCATTTTACAGTAGCAAATACTACCATTTTACATAAAGCCATAGTGCTTTAGAGGAGTTTATTTTTAGGTAACATTTTATCCACCATTTATTCTTCCGAAAAAGTTTAACATAATCTTCTAAATCAACTGTTTACTCCTAATTTTATTCTTAAGAACAGATTTTTATAACTTTCTATATTAGTATAACAACCTATCAGCTTCTGGGGGGAGCATGGTGGAAACTTTTATCACAGAGCCTTCTGAATGAGGATGATGTGATTTGTAATCCAAAACTTAGTTGGGGAGGGCTGCGCTTGATTGTAATGAGCCTAGGAATTGAGATATTAAAACTGTTTCCAATTCAGTGCTCATCAATCTGACGTACAAGGAAGGTGTGCCAAATGTTAGGTCTTTCTCTGCCTTGCTGTTACTTACTGAGGCAACAGTTTTCTAACCTGACATTGTTCTGTGCCCCCACCAAAACATGGCCTCTGAGACTTCAAGTGGAGGTACAGTCCCCCCTCCCCCCTATTCATGCAGAATGGGAGGAAAGAGGCAATGCAGGAAAAGCCTTGTACTGCTTGCTTTATTGTTCTAAACACTGTGTTTTTTTTATCCCCCAGCCCTGATGTGACTTTCAGGACAGACATTGCTCTTCCTGTAGAGTCCTAGTCAGTAGTTACTACAGCAACATCAGCTATTGCCTAGAATGAAAACAAATAAAAATAAGCCAAATGCCTTTTGTGACCAACAGACAATTTCCTTACCAATGGACTATCCAGCTATGTCCAGCTATGTCCTAGATCAAGGACATTATGCTATAAATCAACTCTGATTATATTTAAAACAAAAAGGTTAGTCATTCTTCAAAGCTGGCAGACTATGCATATGGATGGTGGGTGGAGATGTATGCGCTGTGTGACTCTGCAGAGATGTGTGGTGCATGTGCATGCAGACAACTGGTGATTTGGTGCTGAGCTGCCTAATGAAGGAGTGACGGGATAGCTTTGTCCTCACTACGTTGCTTCATTTCTCCAATTGAGCCAGAAGTCAGTTGTTCACTTATATGGAGAAAAATAAAGAGGTATAGATTGGTAAGGGGCTAAGTCTGCTGGTATTAATTCTAAATCTGGGCTGATGACCCATTCTGTGGCTGCAGAGTACATCCCACTTATTTTGTTCCCTATATTGAGAAATTAGATAGTATATCCACAGGTTGTGCTCCATTTCTTAGCATAACACTAGGGGGATACCACTCTGTGAATTGGTTTTTAATATAAAAATTGCCTAGCAAATTATCTGTCATAGTGATTGACACCTTTGTGAAGGGAAAGTGTGTTATGGTAGAAAACACTAAGGAGGGACAGTGTGCCTCGGTCTTTGTGCTCTGGTGCCTTTGAATAATGAATTTGTTTTTAGTTTTAAATAAAATCAGAGTTGATGTATGACTTAAGGCATAATGTTTTGATGCATTCTTGCACAGCTGGGTAGTCTTTTGGTAGGATCGTCCAAGAAAAAGGTGAGCTGCTTCTTCATAGTGTGTGACTTCCTCATGCAGGTCATGTGCCTGTACGGAACAGAGCTTAGTCAGGAGTCTCACCTACCTGCTTTGCACATGCTGTCAGCATGGCTCTTGCTTGCAGTACAGTTGCTTTTCATTGGAGACAGCAAGTAGCAGCGTTCAGCATGTTCTTTAACACTTGTCTGTTGCAGTACAAAAATTGTTATTGATCCTTCCTGGGATCATGAATGGACTCTTCTCTCCTACTTCTTTTCCTGTTTTCTTGGAGCTTTTTTTCCACCTTCCTTTTGGCTTTTGCCCCTTTGTGGGGCATGGGCCTCTTCCAAGATGTTTTCTGCTGCAATGGGAAGATAACTGATGGAAATGCCTCTTTCCTTCTCTAAATGCAGACATATCTCACATTCCCACTGCCAGGGCTTTACTAAACAAGCCAGAAAAACAGCAGCATGTCTTCATACCCTCCTGGGGGAATAGGTCCTCAAGCTGGGAGATATAGCTACACTCTGTTGGCCCTTCACCCCCCCTCACCGTTCATTTGCAAAAACCCAGCTGCAGGTTTATGTCAATTTAATACAACACACATCCATGGGAAGCTTCCTCAGAAGCATGATATGCTGTGAAAGGCCACAGACATGCTTATTTCAGCAATTACTCCATACGACCTAGATGAGCATTCTCCACCACGATGACACCATTCTTCTTCTTGGTGGTATCATAAGTACAGAAGCACCCATCATTCTCATCATATGGAACAATCAGAAAGACCACCCACACATGCACTGCCAACTACATTGCATCCAAACACCAGATGTGCAGCCACTGCAGACTACCGCAGGACCTAAACTTACTAATTTACTGCCCATTCTCCACCTTCTTCTCCCAACCACTTACGTTGGGGTCTCTAATGGCCACCCACAAAACTCATTAATTACCAATTTTTAAAACAAATACATGGATTTGTATATTCCACAGAAATAAATGTGCATGTAACTGTCTAGCAATTATGCATAGGCTTCAACAAAAGGGGATCAGATATCCAAATAAGTATCCATTTGAAGGCAATGTATCTGTGTAATAACCAAAAAGAAACAACCTGTGCATTGGCAGAACATATGTTTAAAAGACACATTGGCTGTATTTCACTGCCAGCAACTAGCTGAAGTAGACAATTCTTTATTAAAGAGATGCTGTGGTGTCCAGTGGACTTATAACAAGTTATTGCTGAAGAAGAGCACACTAAAGCAGTGATTCACTGACTGGGCATTTTGTGGTGGTGTCCATGGTAATTTCTCAAATTCCCAAATGTGTCCATCAGTCCAAAATAATTGGGGACCCCTGCTCTAAGATGCTTCCATTCAAGGTGAAACTCTTCCCCCCAGAGTCAAGCAATCACCATCTAGTGCTTCCTTGGCCACAAGCACAACAGTAACTCCACTAACACATCTTCACATGGGACCAATCCAATTGTTCTTTCTCCAAACTGTCAACCCAGAGACTGATGCCAAAACTCAACTTCTAATTCCTTCCATTCCAGCCTCTTTACATATTGGTTCACTCAGGATCAGGGACTGTGGTACTGTCAGGAAAGAACTCTGCTCATCAAATTGCCTGTGGGCTCAAAAATCTTCTGGGCTGTCCAATCACATTTCTGGACAGTCCCATCCAAATCATTGCATTCAACATCACAGTTTTTCCCCTGTATCTGAACAAAGTGAAACAAAGTCTTTCTCCCTCTGTGGCTCAGCCTGACTCGTGTGCCCCCTGCCACATTTCACCTTCTGCCATCCTCTTGGCACAAATGTCAAACATCTGTGCACATTCACTTAGCCGATAAAGGGCCATGCCTCACAGCTGGGAATTTTCTCTGTCATATCCAGCCTTTTCAGCATGTAGTGCATTCCTTTCAACCTTTTTGCTAGAGTCCTGAATGTAAAATGTGATGCTCCCTGTGGCCAGTAGGGAACAGTTCAGAGTGTCCAGGTGACACTGTTCTCCTAGATGGGGGAAGTACCTTGACTTGGACTTTTTCTCTCTGCTTTCACATTAGACCCATTGCGAAGAAAACAGAACAACAGAGCCCATTGCATCCTAATTACCCTCTGGTGGCCAAGCCATTCATAGTTCACAGTGCTATTTGTCTCTGTTCTTCCTGTCAAATGGCACCTTTTTATGTCACCTTTGCCATACAGACAAGCTCATGAAGAGTGAAAAGAAAATAAAACCCTCCATTTGGAAACCTGTGCCTCACTGCATGGAAAGTGGGTGACTTAAAGAAATGAGGATGTGATGATTGCTTCCTGCAGACCTTTCCATTCAAACCTCGTATGCCACCAAATGGAAAGTATTTCAGACCTTTGCTGTTATGTGACAGAACCTGGCATCTTGTCATCTCCCTCACATAGTGGACTTTCTTCTTTAGCTTAAAATTAATGGTCTGGTGATCTCACCAATTAAAGTTTTCTTAGCAACACTGTCAGTTCATCATAACAAGATAAGAAAGTTTCTCCCTCTACTTACACCCTAGCATTAAACATTTCCCTGAAAAGACTTTCCAGACTTTATCCACCAGCCTCCCCCCATATTCTGGATGGAGCCTATCCATGCTCTTGGCACAACTTAATGATAACATACTTTGAACACCTAACTACAGCTGACCTAAGGCTCCTACTGGTGAAATTGGCTTTTCTGGTTGCTGTTACTGCAGCATGAAGAGCAAGTGAATTGTGTATTCTTTGGTATAATCAGCCTTTCATAGTATTCTACAAAGGTAAGATAGTCCTGGTCAAAGATTACATCTCTCTTCCTGAAGTATATTTATAGTTTCATTTGGTTCAGAACATTGTCATTCATAATGTCCCCAAGTTTGTCTGCCATTCTGACCCCCAAAAGGGATGCCCTTTCTCTTCACAGTGATTTGACAAATAAGTCATGTCAGTTGTCCACTTGCCAGCCATTATGGCATCTGCCCTCCACCCCCAGCAATATGTGGCTATTCAGCAAAGGCCATTGCACCTTCAGTTGGTTTCCTCCAGAGCATTTCACTTCTGCAGTTGTGCACCACTGCACCTTGGGCTCAACAATTTATCTTCATCAAACAATACCACCTAGACACCAGATGCAGCCTTTGGCAGGGTAGTTCTTGCTATCTGTGTCCCCCACAAGTTCTGCTGCTTTTCAGTTAGCCTTATATGCAAGTCTACGAAGGAGGAGAGCAAACATACCTGCAACTGGTTTTTACAGTGGCTATCTATGGACCCATTCAGCCCACACTCTTCTAATGCCTTACCAATTGTTTCCCTCCACTGTGGTGGATGTATAGCTAGAGTGGGCCAGGAGCTGTGCCTGGAGTGTGCAAGAGATGGTGGGCAGGACTCCTGCCTCAACTCAGCTTTAGAATGTTCTGAATGACTATTCTGCACAGGTGCATAGTCCAGAGAACCCAAGTTCCAGGGAAGCAACTTTCCTTTATTCTTAGAAAAGCAAGTCCATTGTTGTGCCTCCTGGGGTATGACTCCAGTGAATGCCATGAGTATTCCTGAGAATCTACTTCGCCTGAAAAGAGCAATAATTGTAGTATAAACAGACAGCTGAGAGGGGAGCATTGTAAGAGGCAGGACAGTTGATTGACATCCTACTCTGGAGGGTCTTCAGAACTTTTCATGAATTGTAGGTTACTGCACGTATAAGATTCTCTACAGCTAGTGGACTTTTATTTAAAACATTTATATCCCATCTTATATCCAATCAGGATCTCCGAACAACTCACATAAAAATGGAACAAAACAATGAAAACCGAGACAGATTTAACCTGCACTTCTGAATATTCTCCACATATTGGCCACTTAAGAATTCTCTTTAAGGCCTCTATGACCTTTGGCTCCATCTGGTGCTAATAACATCACTGTAGGAAATCTGCAAGTGACACAATGGTATTCTGTTGTTTTCCCTTCTTTGCTGCTCTTGGACATACTTAATCATATCCAGAACTGAGCGACCTTGAGGAACAGACCTAGAAATTGCTTGCTAGGAGTACTTCCTTTGTCAGTAATTCATATATGTGAAAAGCAGCCCTTTGACATGCAAAAGTTGAGGATCTCTTATCATAAATGCAGCACAATACATACTGCGTACAATTTTAAGAAACAGCCACAGAGTGTGGAGCTGTCCATATGACATGTCAGAGTTAATCATTTCTCCACCCTGGAAACTAAGCCAAGCCTTTCCTATATAATATCCACAGCACAGTCATGTTGCCATTTTTGTCTCTATTAAGCCCACTATAACAGGAAAGTTCCAAAGGACCTTCATTTCTAAGGCCCAGTTCGATCAGTTGCTTGAGCCAAAGACTGTGTTCATCTAATGAAACAGGTAGTTACTCCTTTTCCCTCCATGCTCATATCATAATATGTGACATGCACATTCTTACATGCATAGAAGGCCATATTTTATATTTTTTTTAAAAAACCCTTTACCTGAGTTCCCTAACCACTTCATCAGAATCACATGATTTAGGCCTCTGCTACCATATCATATGTGGTAGGGGAAGGCTATACCTGCTTCTCCATAGGCATAATTAGGTTTTTATGAGCAGTTGAGCTTTGTCTGTGGTGACCAATGTGTGGATCACCCTGAACTCAGAGTAAGGGTAGTATAAACAAATAATAAAATTAAAAGGAGGAAAGACAATCTGAGTAAGTTCTATCATCTGACATGCGAGTCTTGATTCTCAGGGCAATCTTCTTTTGTATCTGATCATTAACAGAGTTTTACCCTGCATCTCCCACAAAAACAGGATTCCCCATCTTTTGCTACCTCTTATGGCCATGGCAGTATTTTAGAACATTTGAAGATGTCTCAAGTGTTAAAATGGGAAAGCCATTCACTAACATAGTGCCACCTTGCTACTCACTGTGAAAATATTCTGTTTATTCACAGAAGTTAATGAAATCTTTCCAATGCAGAGTTCTGTGTGGTTGTTCAGTGCACAGCATTAAAATAATGCATGCATAGTTGTCCAGCTGACTAGAATGAAGCTTGGCTTGAGAAATCTTGATGAAATGTGAAGAGAGTTTAAGATGCACGTGGCCCAACTATTTAATGTTTTATAGATTAAAAACATGTGGACTTGAACTGTGGCACTTAATAATAGAAGCTGAAACACAGATGTATTGTATTCTCAGCAATTAGAGCCCATCCAAAAGCACCTCCATGCATAGAACTCTATGCTTCCTAACAAGCATAGATGGTAAAATGGTTAGAAACTTAGCTTTGAGAGTACGAAGCCTTTAATTGGTTTTGAATCTTAACAAGGAATGTGGCCTTCTCACCAGCCGGAGTGGGTGAAAACAGTTGGTTTGCACTGCAACTTTGTTTTCAAGATATGTAGTAAATTCAGCGAAGCCTCAGTTTTGCAGATTTGTCTGAGCAGGGGAAGATTCGGCATCACCCCCTTGCATATCTTCCGCTTCTCCTGTTCTCCATCTCTTTGCCTGGCAAAGCAACTTGAGCTGGAAAAGTAGCCCTAGCCCACGATCAACTCTTGTCTTTGCAGAAGAGCATCTGCTCTATTATTACAGTGGTTCGGTTGCCTCTCCTTCCTGACCCTTCCCTGCAGCCTGTCACAGAAATTGATGCATCTGCCCTTAGCAGCGGTGTAATATATTTATTTCTTGAAACTGAACAATGAAAGAAACCCTGCATAAAGATAGGTTCCTCTTTCTGAAAGTCTTCGAGTAGGGGATGGCGGCGCTGGTACAAACATATGTCTGTGTGCTAGCAGCAGCATATAAAGTTAAGCATAGGGCAGGAGTAATCCAGCTGTGCTACGCCAGTTAGGGCAAGGGATAAGTTTAGTAAAACAAAAATAGATTCCTCAAGCAAGTCCCAGCATGTGTTTTAGGTAACAACCAAGCCTGAAGTGGAATCATTTGAAGTGGTTTCTAGGCACAGTAAGCATACTAAATTCTCAGACAGGCAAACAAAACCTTGCCATCAGTTTCCTAGGGGAAAAAATCTTGTCCTAAAATCCTAAGGCAGCCAGAATCTTAAGGGGGAAATATAGTGTCCAAGGATTGTATACTGCTAGAATATTGGACTGTGGCATTTATTTAAAGAAAAAAAAAACCTTCCTTAGCTGAACATTAAGCTCAACAAAATGATAATCTTTGACTGACTAACTTACAGGTGTGTGGGCTGCATTTGCTGACCAGTATTTATTCCTTGTAGGTAAGGAGATTATTGAAGAAGCAAATAGTGAAGATCATGTCATGCTCCCCAGATTCCCAGGGTGCCCTTGACCTCCCTGAAGGAGAAGCTGCTGCAGCAGGTGACCAACAATCTGAAGATCATAAAGTCAGTTCAAAATGTGAACAGGAAGACTCTGCAAGCGATGCTGCAAGCTTACAGGAAGGAAAGAGAGAGCCCCTTGAGGAAATGGGGAAGGGGGTCTCATGTGAACCAGCCGGGCTGCAGTTGCAACCACCATTTGTGCTGAAACGAGATGATGGCTCCTCTGACTACAAGCTTCAGTCAATTGAACAAGATGCGGATGATGAAGCAGCGGATGACACTGACGATACCAGCTCTGTAACATCTTCTGCCAGCTCTACAGCTTCTTCTCAAAGTGGCAGTGGCACCGGGCGCAAGAAGAGTATCCCACTCTCCATCAAAAACCTCAAGAGAAAACATAAGAAGAAGAAAACGAAAGTTTCCCGGGAGTTTAAACCAGGTGACAGGTAAGGAATGTCCTTTCACCTATATATCATTGTGCATCATTACATCCTGCCAGTTTTGAACTCCGTGTTTTAGATTCATGTGCTACAGAAATGCAAGAAATTTCAGCATGAGTAAAAAGTTGGTCATCGTTCAAGCAAAGCACAACAGATGAGAAGGTTATAGTTTGCTTTTGACCTTCGTGGTAGTAACTGGGTCAGTTCTTTCAAGTAGAATCTTCTGATCTTTGCAGAATGCACAAAACTAATCATTTAAAAAATAGACCATTCTGAATAGCTTGGCTTGACCAAGCAACTACCGAATTTCACTTTTTGATGGCCTTTTAAATGAACTCATAGAAATTACTTGCCAAAAACATTTTAAAAGCCTGCCCCCAATTTATGAATTTAAAAACTAGGTTTTCAAAGAAGAGACTATTCTCCAATTTATCCTCAATGGGAAAATGTTCTGAAATCCTTAAAATGTTTGCCTTGATTTAATTTCAAATTTTGATTTAATTTCAAAAGAACATACTGATCTACCCTGCGTACAAGTGCATAGGAGTTCTCCATTTTTGGTTCCCACATCCATCCCATATTTTTTCTTTTGCCTGCTACCCTAATTTTGAACCAGAGTTTATTGGACTCCATCCTTAACTCTGTGCTTAATGCCAGATTTCAGTCTAAGAATGTGTGAAATAACAGAATGTGTCTCTTAGTAAATGTGCATAAGCAATTTTGTGTGGCCCTCAAAGTCCACACCAAAGCACTTTCTAGGCTGCTTTGTTTTATAAAGGAACTGTAGATTCTGAAGCAAATGCAGATACCTATTTAACTTCATTTTAACTTCCTTAGGCCTCAGGGTTAAGGCTAGAAAGTGCCAAGCAGGAGATAGTTTCTTCCAAAGATAATCTGCTGACTCTGTAACCTTTGTGCACTAACCAAATCCCAATAAATTAACATAACAATGTGAAAAATTTCTGGCAGGAATATTCTGACTTGAGGAATGAAAGTGCAGCTGGCACTGAACTGGGTCCAAGTTTCTTCTTTCTTTTTTAAGGGCTACATACTTATGCTAAAGATGCTGCACACTGGGGTTGTATCCCCCTCCTTCTGATCACCCTGAAGCAAATTCTAGTTGCAGAGATGATCAGACAACGTGTGAATACCAAGACTGTACTAATATGAAGAAGGCCAACACGTTGCAAGCAATGCTGCTTTCAGTAGTACTTCTGATCTATTAAATTTGGGCTTCATTTTGGTTATCCTTTCAGCGGAGAACCTTGAACAAATTTGTGTTACAGGTAGCTGTCAGGGAATACACATGCATTATTTAAAGTACAAATTAATCCAGTAATATAAAATGGTAGATCAAAAACAAGAAAATATGAAACATAAAATATTGACAACCAGCTATCCATTAGTTATGCCAAACGTTTAATTCTTTGTGCTTTTGGCCAGGTGGAAACAATTGCATATTTTTTTAATCTTGTTTTTAAAATGTAAAAGGTATACTTTTTAACTTTGGAGAACTTCAGCTATTGAGCAGTATAGAAATGAAATAAATGATAATAATGATTTTATACAGCAAAAAGAAAAACTTATCTTACTTGGCAGCAGCTAACAAGGAGCACTGCAAAACATCTTGGCCCTCTTGTTTTTTCCTTGTTAAATAATTAAACCAGTGGAGGGGTCTTGATAAGAATAGATGTTAGTGAAGTACAGCTGAAAAGGTATTACTGGAGGTGCCATGAATACCTGTGACAAAGGAAGGATTGCTGTTATTCCCACAAATAATGCAGATTGTCTGGAAATGAGAACTATCTGGTTCTCTTATGTTCATAATCATAGGCATAATCTATGTAGCATTTGTGTCCTGGCAATTAGAGTTTGAATTTCTAGCAATTCCATTCACTATGATGGAAAAGTACTATTTCAAAAAATATCTATGTTTATAAATCACCTAATTGACAAATGTCCTTGAAACAATTTACAATCATAAGAAACAAAAACAATAAAATAACAACAATAAATACTATACAACAAGAAAAGCATAATAAAACATTAAAGGCATTACAAGTATTAAAAAGCTAGTAGTTAATAATCAAAACAAGAGATTCAGGGTTAAATATCAGCTAGAAGAGAAAGGTCTTAACCTGGCATCTGAATGTGTGTACAGTGCAGATCTCCCTGGGAAAAGCATTCCACAGACGTCAGAGAGGCTTCTTCCCTGCTAGCTGCCCATCTCACCATTGTGGGTGTCAAAGACCGTCTCAGCAAGCAGACAGAAACACAGGGGAGAAAGTGTTCCTTCATGTAGAGTCAGGGTCTTGATGGCCAGCATGAAGATTTGGAATCAAAACCAGAAACTGTCTGACAACAAGTGTTGAAGCAGTTCTTGAGTAATAAGGTTTAAATAAGGTTTAAACCTAAAATAAGTTTTAAAAGTTTTAAAATGGCCAGTTGCTAAAAAAAAATATTTTATTTATTTATTTAAAACACTTCTATGCCGCCCCCATCGCAACAAAGCCTTGGGGCGGCTCACAACATATTGCTAAACTTATTCTCAGCATCTGTGTTCTGACGGATAAAAGTCTCCTAAACCTTATCCAGATTATTTGGGAATTGGATTTAAAAATAATGTCAGGAAGCAGAAACAGCTATAGGTGTTCTCTCTTTCCCTGCAAATAGCAATCCTCATGAAGATTTCATAGATTCGTATTTGTGTAAGAGCAAGGACTGTTTCAGCAAAATGATGCCAGCATTGTTTTAGTGCAGACTTTCAAAATTAAGAACAGGGCTTTTGCTCTGTAGTTAATCTGCATTCATCATATTTCATCCTAACCCATGCATTTTGTTGATGTATTTGCTCAGCAAGCAAGATTTTTCTCCCTAATGTGGTATTTTGCTTTAAGTCTCAAATTGAAAGACAAGTTTTAATATTGTTCACAAATTGAAAAGGAGTTAATTGCAGGAGGCTTCTTCCTTAACTTGTTGCCTTTTGTGGTCCCAGGGTCGCTGTAGAAGTGGTGACCACGATGACTTCAGCTGATGTGATGTGGCAGGATGGCACAGTGGAGAAAAACATTCGTTCCAATGAGCTATTTCCAGTCCATCATTTGGACAACAATGAGTTTTGCCCTGGTGATTTTGTGGTGGATAAGAGAGGTAATTGGTCAAAAGTGATCCCTTTTGGATACTGTACTTACACCTGTAGTATGAGTTTGGATCTTCAGACTGTTAGTAACATCTAGTGAAGCAATAGCAGGTGAAGAAGTAATGTCTGTTCCTACAATCAAACCAGTCTAGCTTTTCTCAGAGAATAAACAGCTGACTTCCCTGTGAATTTGACCCTTGAAATCCTACATAGAATAATGTGCCACCTTCTTATATTTGATAACTGGATCTGTTTATAAGGGTGAATTTTAAACTGGGCCATTTTTTCAGGCATTTAAAGATGTTATTAAAATAGGCCTCTTTTCTGTTTTGTTGAAATACTATATTTTGCAGATAGCTTTTTCCCTAGGAAGTAAGCTGCTCTTCATTTAGTTCTACATTTCAGTCCCAATTAATTCATGGACTGTAGATAAGAAAGCAAGAGGCAAGAATATGCTTACTTTCCATCAAGAAAAAAATTGAATCCATGTGCTGGTAGAATGCTAGTTTTCTATTCATTGTTGCTTAAGCCTTTAACAAAAGAGAACCAGAAAGCTGCCATTGAGCACTTCCCCCAACTTCACCTTGCAGAAGGGATTGGCTTGAGGCAGATTCTTCCTCTCGCAGAACTTCCTGCTACTTCAGTTTGAGCATGTGGTGAAGGGTTACAAATGTACTCAGGACTGGTGAAAGCATAGAGTCAGGGTATGTGCCCATTCTTCTCCCAAGCCTGGAGAACTGTGAGGACTCATCCTGGTGCCGCAGTGACTTCTGAAGCAGGATCTCCTGATGCTATACTGAGCCTTGGAGATACCTGAAAAGCCATGAGACCACTTGCTATTCCCTGATCATCTGAGGCTTCTACCATTTTCCTTACAGTGCTGGTAAAAGGTAGCAGTTTACCCTGCTCAGTTGTGCCGGGTAATCCTGTGTCCCTTTCCATCTGGAGGCAGGGAGGGTCATGGCAGAAACAAATGTTGGCTGGCTATCAAGGGCAGCTTAAGTTTATTTTGGTATTTGTTGGTGACTTGGGAAAGACGAATTGTGCCTGAATACAAGGCACATCCTACTGTAAGGCCAAGCATTCATGCAACTAGCTCCCTGCCCTCACTGAATAGCTTGCCTTATGGTTGGTGTTCGGTACCTTCCTGCAAGGTGACATGGCTGCCCTGCTCTATCAGCAAAAGCATAGATGAGAAGAAGGAAAGTAGACAAAAGGGGCAGCTTCAAGGAAAATCAAATAATAGATTTGATTGAACAGAACTATGGAGTGTGCCGCTTTATCTTACTGGAATATCCATGTTTCTTCAATCCTAAATAGCACAGAGTTCTCAAGATCCTGGTATGTATGGTGTGGTGCAATCAGGGGACCACGTGGGCCGCACCTGTGTGGTGAAATGGTTCAAACTGAGACCCAGTGGAGATGATGTTGAGGTAAGGAGCGATGTTTGAGCAACTTCCCTTTGGCTCCCTTTCCCTGCGGGATGGGGTTGAATCCCTTGGCTGCTTCTAAGACATACCACAGGGTGTGTTTGTTGGGCCTATAAACTAAGCTGAATGAGCTTGGGAGTTGGTGATGCCGCTGCCTTCTGGTTTTTTTTATTTTTATTTATTTATTTATTTGTATATTGCATTTTTCTTTTTAGCTTTTTCCCCATTGTGAGAGTCTTCATAAACTTCTCCAAGCTTCTGGAAAAGCAGTATATAAAAAGCAGTGGCAAATATTATACTAGTTGTTGCAAATGCACAGGGTCTTGTGCAAAACACTCCTTTAATAGGACTCCGTTGCTTTGAAATTCATATAAAGATTTCATGTCCGGAATCTCCATATGGAAAAACTGTGTGTCAGGGACAAGATGAGGGTGTTGTGCTGCTTCCCTTGTGTCTAAGGATAGACAGCAGGTCTAATTCAATCCAGTATTCTGTTTGCATAGCGGCCACCCAGATGCTGACAAGGAGGATATGAGGTTCCCTGTGGGAGGCTCAGTATGAATAGGTAACATAAGTAAGCATTGCATACTTATTTTCAAAAGATCCTTTGGTATGCGAGATCACATGAGCAATCTGCACCCTGCTACTTTCCAAAGGGGTGCTACTGGGAGTGTGTATCTGGTTGAACCAGTTCTCCAAAGTGCTACTATTTGAAAGATTATGTATGCATGAGATGCTGTACCAAGTATTGTGTCTCAGGAGCATCACACAGAGAAAGCAGTATGAAATTTTATTTTTTAATAAGCCAGATTCTTGAGTCATAGAGTATTGGATATTTCCTGTGCATTGGAAACCTCTGAGGATCTGAAAATCTGTGTGAGGATTGGTCTTAACTTTTGCATGTTCTTTTCAGCTGGTTGGGGAGGAAGAAGATGTGAGTGTATATGACATCGCTGATCACCCAGACTTCCGCTTCCGCACTACTGATTTTGTGATCCGTATTGGCAATGCTGAAGATGGAGCTTCAGTTGGTGAAAATGAGGTGCGTTGTGTGTGTGTTGGGTGGATCCTCTATTACTATGGCCAGGGGAAGGGGTGTGCAGGTGCTGGGGAACCTCTGCATTCTTCTTTGTGGTGTGACAGCATTAGAATCTATAAGGTTGTTGCAAAACATTCATATAATTTGAGCACAGAGATAATACATGCACCACAAATGCTGCAAAAGCCTGGCATGCTTCTTTCTGGTTGCTTTCTTCAGTAATGAAGCAGTTGTGCAGATCTGGAACTCCTAAGCTTGACGTGCCATTTCTGTTGGACAATTGCTTTTCACAAGTGTTGTCTCTTGCTGAGTTCTGAGCCACCAGAAGTGAAGAGGCTGAGTAGATACAAGACTAAATTCTTTATGAAACTTCCCCATGGGGAGACTACAAGAATTCCTTGCCTGCTATGGAAAACTGAAGAGGGAGAGCTTCAAATTCCAATTCCTAAAGCCACCAGTAGATGGCAGCCTTTACAAATACTTTAAATATTGACACACACCTCCCCCCACCAGCCGCAGAGAGGCTGGAGGCAAGGAGTGGCTGTGACATTGAAAAGTATTCTTCAATGTGGTGAACTTGCTTTCTATGCATGGAGCCTCCTTAGGTAGGATTTCAACAACAGTAAGAATCATTACTATTTATATTGGCTCAGTCATCTGTTTACATAATCCTCTTGCTTATGAGTTTCATGTAACGGGAGAAAGCAATCATTGCTGCAATTCTAGAACCAAGGATGTGATGTTTATTGTTTGTTCCATAGCCTTCTGTGGGACAGGTGGCACGTGTGGATTTCAGCAGCAAAGTGGAAGTTGTGTGGGCTGACAACTCCAGGACAATTGTTCTACCACAGGTGAGCTGCCAACTGGTTGGTATAAGGGTTGGTGTATGGTCCTTGTGCCTTTATAGAATGCAGCAAGCATTAATCTCAGCCTGGGAGTGCTTCAATGTTTCTCTCTGTTTCTTGAGTCTTGGTATGAGGCAGCTTCCTGCTCTTGCAGACATAGGTTTGACTTTCTATGGCTTGGTTCTCTCCATTGTTCCTAAGAAAAGTACTGTCATAGGTGCAGCAGTATCTCATAGCCACATCTGGCTCTACTAGTTACTCTTTAGTCTGACAGCTTAACTGGCTGCTTCCTTATGTTTGGTGTAGCCAGGCTCCTGTAGCAAAATTCTGCAGCAAAATTCTTTATATTGAGACCACTCTGTGCAAAGTCCCTGGGCATGATTTACTGGCCCTCTTTGTCATTATTTCATTTTTGTTTTGTTCATGCATCTCTGGGGGGGGGGTGCACGCATGCTCGCACACAGGCATGCACAAACTTTGCACATTTTTAGAAGGACAGTGAAGACCTCTTTCATTGGGCCTTTGCAGGATGAGTCCTGTAGATTTACACACTGAAGTATGTTTTGGACTTTCAGTGGTGGTGGTGAGATTAGCTAGTAGGGACTTCTTTCTGCATGTTGTTCAGCTACAGCAGGCTTGTACTTGCCATGATGGGGGAGAGGAGAGGCCTTGGTTCAGTAGCAAGGCTAGGAAAGAATCCCATGTGAAACCCTGGAAGGCCATGACTGTCCATCAGCATGGACAGTCCTGGCCAAGTCAGGCCCATGGCCTGGCTCAAGGAATTGTATTAGGCAGCTCCCTGTGTTCTTATTTGTACTAATTTAAATTGGCTCCAGCAATTGTACCCAGAGTTCCATTTATTTGCTGGGTCTGTCCCATCCATTCCTTCCTATTCCCCTCTCCAAAGGCCACTCCTGATTAGTTGGGGGACCAACTGGAGAAGGTGTGCAAGGGCTGTTTGAATGAAAGCACTATTTTCATATTCTACTTCTGAATACCAGACTTTGGGCATGATGTGTGGCTTAAGAATAAAACTTAGAACATTCTAAGTTTCTTGTCTGTGTTCATTTTCTTCAAGGTGATTGCTTTGTATGGGACCCACCCTCACTTACTGCACTCAAAAACAATTGGGAGTTAGGATAGGGGCATGCTTTAACTGTATGGATTTGTGTGAATGTGTGCTACTGTTATAATTATTCTCATTGTTATTTTAATGTGTTTCAAATGTTTTGTAATTGTGTTTCATTTTATGTGTTTATTTTTTGTCCATGGATTGTACTTGTATATGACCATCGGTTGGTGGGGGTGGGGTATGTGGAAAAACTGTAAAAGTTAAATTAAAATAACTATGAATTGAATGGGTTTAAGAAGGGGCAAGTTTCACTATAATGAGCTTATCATACTAAAAAGATAGAAAAAGTCAGTTTAGAGATTAAATTTTTGATCTTTGGATAGCACAATTGATTGACTGTGACCAGTTCAGTTACTCTGGGGATATATGTGCACAGCAGTGCTATTCTGAAAGAAGTTTTAAAACTCTGCTTAGGAGAATGGTAGCTAAGCAAATCTAACAAGAAAATCCTATCATCCTAAGGACAGTGGCTTTCCATTTTTCCATCTGCAGTGAAGTCTTCCCATACTCTCATGCCTGTCAAGATAACTCTGCCTAGTGGAGAAGATTCTGGGGAGTGTACTGAGGGTACTGCCCAGGCATGCTGGGCATCTGAATCTTTTCATCTGACCTGAGTGCACCCTGGAATGCACTCTACACATTCCTGTAGTTCAGAATTGCAGAAGGGACACTGACAGTATGGAAGCAGTACTGAGGTTCTGGGGGGCAGGGGGCCCTGGAAAACAGCTTATAAAGCATCACCCTATCAAGTGTCCATGCACATGGAAGCTTGAGGCAGTCAGACCCTGCTTAGAATTAGGGAAAGGAATGGCTGAAGTAGAAGCAGATACAATGGAACAATTGGGGTTTAAAAGCTCCAGCCAAGGACTGCACATGTTTAAGAAGCTGCACTGTAGTCATGCCATGTCTTTTTCCTGGTGAACTAATTATTCTGTGTCTGTAGCACTGCTATGCTGATCAGAGTATGCCATTGTATAATCTGATGTTTTTGGTGAAAAATCTCTACCAGGAGATAAATTTGCCCCAAAGCAGTGTTAGGAGAGACTGCAGTATGAAAAGGTTTTTCTTATTCCTTGCCTTGTGTCTCTTTTGAGATAACTGCTGGTCCTTTGCACTGGTCAGGAAGCACAGTTTATCCTTGTTAGAGAAGCCTGTTCATGGGTATAAGTGTCTGGAATTCCTTTCCTAAGCAAAGCAACTCCCCTTTAATTGAAGCAGAATAGTTCAATGTCCGAGCTATGGCAGGGGGATATGAAACCCTCTCCTGTCCCTCTTTCTGCTCTTGTCACATGTGATCAAATCACAGGAAGAATCCGTCCACAAAGGAGAGCTCTTTCTGTACCAACCTGTAATAGATGCATACATGTTAAATAAAAATTGCCACTGAATTTATTTAAATGCAGTTCTAAATCTGAATTATGGATATAGATTGGACTGTACAGGAAATAGAAACTACTTTAATAGACATCAACATTTCTTATTTTTCCTCTTTGTCATGGCAAAAATCTTGGTGACAAATTTTGTATAAGCCTGAATGCAGAAGATTGTATGCAAACTCAAGGAAAATCTTGCATATAAACCCCCCCTCCCGATTTGAGGAGGTTGAGGGGCAGATGATGGGTAAAAGTCTTGAAGCATATGCAGCAAACATGCACTCCCAAAATGTACATCAAAGGTCAGAAGAGAGTAGCTGTGGAAAAACAGGGTCTTGGCTGCAAATGTTCTGAAAAACAGCAGGCAATTTAGCAAAAATGGCAAGGCAAATTTAATAAATGTAACATGAAAGTAATGAGACTTTATTTATGTATAAATAAGGATGCTGATCCAGCACAACTCTTCCTGTGTTCTTAAGATGACGTATGAGAAGAGTTCAGCATCGTGGGACCTTCAGTCTAGCAGAGCTAATGCCTGCTACTCTGTTCTGCGTTGCAGAGCCTTCTTTCACCTTTTTATCAGCTGCCCCAGTTAACCCAGGATGGCCTTGTTTCTGAGGGTAAAGTGCTGACTCATAACCATGGATGCAGGCATTACATAAAACCAGCAGCCAAAGCAAGTTGCATCCACCGGAATGTCAGCTCAGTGGGAGCACTGCCTCCAGGTCATCCTGTGGCCAAGCAATGCAATGACTGTAATGTTTAAATGCCACTTACCAAACTCATGTTGTCACTTAATGTAGTGAAAATGGCATTAAGCCTTCTAACTATTGGGACTCTACCTGTTTTTCTCTCTAACTTCTAGCTCTAATATAAAGAACAAGAGACAAAAAAATCCTTAATAAAGATCAGTTGAATAAGAATGAAAGTTAAGAAAAAACAGATGAATAAATGTAGAGTTGTTTTAATTCCTCTTTTTTCTCTGTGGCTTCTAGCACTTGTATAACATAGAATCGGAGATGGATGAAGAGACTGACCTTGATTCCATAGATGGTAGCACTAGCGGTGCCTCCTCAGATGAATGGGAGGATGAGAGTGACAGTTGGGAGACAGACAATGGCATCATGGAAGAGGACCACTCAAAACTTGAGGAGGTGGAGCCTGAGGAGCCACCTGTGGAAGAGGTGAAAAAGGTGGAGGAACAAGTGCAAGGTGCTGTGGCAATGGCAGTGGCTGATCTAACAGCAGATAAATCAGGCAAGGAAGGGACTCCAAAGAGCTTCCGAGAACTAAAGGAGGCCATCAAGATCTTGGAGAGCCTGAAGAACATGACAGTTGAACAGCTACTGACAGGCTACCCAACATCTCCAACTGTAGAACCTGAAAAGCCTACCCGGGAGAAGAAATTCCTGGATGACATCAAAAAGCTGCAAGAGAATCTGAAGAAGACTCTGGACAATGTAGCTATTGTGGAGGAGGAAAAGATGGAGGCCATGGCGGAAGCAGAGAAGAAGGAAGAGAGAGAGGCACAAACGCAGACACCAGTAGTATCAGAGTGGCCCAGCGAGACTCCAGTGCTTTGCCAGCAGAGTGGAGGCAAGCCTGGAGTTACTTTCACCAGTGCCAAGGGGGAAGTCTTCTCTGTGTTGGAGTGTGCCCCAGGTGAGTGGGAGCCCCAGTTCCCAGGTAGAGGGGCAAGGCACAGAAAACCACTACGAGTTGGTTGTGATGTGTTGTAGAGGAGGCATAAGGCTGTAGACAAGATTAAATCAGGGAGTGCCTATAGCTCAGGGGTAGAGCCCTTGCTTTGTAAGCAGAAGGGTCCAGGGTCAACTCCTGGCAACTCCAGGTAGGGCTGTCCAAAAAAACCCCCAAAACCTGAAGAGCCTCTCCAAGTCAGTGTCAACAAGGCTGAGCTGGATGGATCTGCTGACTCACTTTCATGTGTCTTAGAGTGAGGTGGGAAAGGGAGAATTGGGGCACTCCAGATTTTGCTGTGCTCCCGCTTCCATCAGTCCCAGCCAAAATGGCCAGTGCACAGGAATGGGAGTTATAATGTGACGACATCTAGAGACCTAAAGGTTCCCCATCCCTGCTTTAAATCAGTCCTTCACAGTAAGTTGTGTTATCCCCCTTCTCTCTGAATATAGGAGTCTTGCATATAAGAATTACTGAACTTTTATTCCTGGTCGCTCTGTAGAATGTTTTCTGTGCTTTAGCATGTCTTTCTTGAAATTGTGCCAGCTCCTGAAATCCTGGTGAAGGTTTTCTCATACTTGGGAAGAAAACCTTTGCTAGCCCTGCCAGGCATGTTTCCTTAGGAGCCTGTAGTCTTGGTTTCATCTTTATAGGATGCATTATATTAAGAGATCAAAAAAGCAGGGGGTGATCTGATGAGCTGTAGGGAATTCAGTGAGACAGTACTTGGTAAGACAGTGATTCCTAGTCAGCTTACACTTGGTGTTTTTTGAATAGATAAATGGAAATGCATCACTTTGCAGTTCATGTAAATATACTTACTGCTGTTTCCTGATTAGAGCAGTAGCGCCACCTGTGTCTCCTTTACCTGCCAGGTTTAACTCATTTCTTACTGGCATTAAGGAAAAGCTGAATATCTCCTAAGGTTGATCACCTATTTATGTGTAGCAGGAGGTTTCTTCACTGACTATCTTGAATTTCCACCCCCACCCCCCACCCCCATTAGATAGCCATGCCTTTAAGAAAATGGAATTCCAGCCTCCAGAAGCCAAGAAGTTTTTCAGCACCGTGAGGAAAGAAATGGCTCTGCTAGCAACCTCATTGCCAGATGGCATCATGGTCAAAACCTTTGAAGACAGAATGGTAAATCTGTGTAACCTTCTATGGGTTTTGTCCTCCGCTCAGAACAGTGTATCGCACATCCTGGTCAGAACTCTTTCCAGTGAGGGGCAGCCAGAATGTGCTGTGGATTTTGTCTATGCATCTAAGGCAAGAGTAGCAGGAGTGTCCTTCAGATGTTTGGCCTGAACCCCCCATAATCCCTGACATGGCTGATGGGCAAGGGAGTCTAAAACATACCTTATATAAGATATTTCTTAATGGAAACCAAATAAATGCTTTCAGTACTACATGTCTCTTAGAACAGCACTTCTGCTGCCCTGGCCTACACTACCTCTAGAAGCTAAGTGAAGTACTTTTGCACTGAGATTTTTGTAACTGGGACAACTGAACAAGCTGGTGGGTGTTGAAGTGGTTCAGGGGCACAAGTTTCAATTACTTGACCAATGTAATACTGGTATCTGGCAAGCTCGTCCTATAATGGAACTGAATGAGTTGGTGTGCCTGACGGAAGCTATCCTTTTCAGAAGTTTTTTGGAAGTACTAAACAGCAGCAGCTTGTTCAGTACCAATTAATGCTGTTTATATTCTTACATTAAGAAGACTGCATACTTGGGGGGTCTCCTATGCAGGAATTGCCCATGTCCATATCTGCGTAGCCTCAGCAAGGCTGGAACACCATGTGCCTTTGGTTCATCCCCTCCAACTCCCTTCTGTCTGGCTAATACATCACAGTTTCTGTTAAAGGTTGAATAAAAACTAGCAGAATGAAGGTTTCTTCAATCCATTTTCAAGTCCTTGATTCAAAATTCAACCTGATAAGAGCCTCCTTGAATGTACATTCAGCATATCAATCCTGCAGGGAGTCACATGATGATTTTAAGTACAGTACTAAGTAAAATGACTTTCTCAATTAGTTCTGGTTTCTTCCTCTCCAGGACCTCTTTTCAGCATTGGTGAAAGGACCCACACGCACACCATATGAAGATGGCCTCTTCTTATTTGACATCCAGCTCCCCAACATCTACCCAGCTGTCCCCCCTCTCTTTCGTTACCTCTCCCAGTGCAGTGGGAGACTGAACCCTAATTTGTATGACAATGGAAAGGTCTGTGTAAGTCTTCTGGGGACATGGATAGGCAAGGTAATACTTCCTCTGACTTTTTTCACTCTTACGTTGATCTGTTTCATCCTGTATCGTCAGATCACACCACTTTCTCCTGCTCCCAGATTTACCTCACTGTTTTGGCCCAAGAGGTTGGAGTGCTGTGCCTGCAGTCTAAAGAGCAGCTCCAAACTGCAGTGCCTTGTCTGAGCACAGATTTCAGCATGCACGCCTTGTGCATAGCTAGCTTGTGTTGACCATAACTCTAGTGATGGGCTCCTTAGTCATGTGCAGGAGACTAGTTCTCCCAGTGGGTCACAGACAAGTGCTTTAAGTTACAGATGTACAGCACAGAGTCAATGAAATTGCTGTTGTCAGAAAATACTTAATATCTTCAGCACACATTTCACATTTTCCTCAGTAGGCCTCACTGCTAATAAAGGTTATGTGAAAAGAACATATGTGAAGCACTATTACTAAAATCTTCCTGCAGCAGAGTGCCTTGCAGAAGAATTTGTACCCCCTTTGTCTTCTCCAGGTTTTAAGTTACAAGCTTAATGATGTCCCAGTAGTGCTGTAATATCTAATGTTGGCACAGTGCCTAGCATCCATACAGATGTCATTCAGCCTCTAATATAATGTAGATGTTATACCTATGAAATGTTTGCAAAGACTACAGTTTTCATAATATCAGTTGTTGAGAAAAGTAGGTTTTGACCTGTATAATATAACAAGGACAGCCTACTAGGTAAGGGTCATACTCCAGAACAATAACAGACAGGACATTCCAGGTATCTAAAGACCAGGGGCTATGTACATTGTATTCACAAACTGAGTGAATTTCTTAGGCAAAGTAGGAAAGTTGAATAAATTTTGTGGCTGAAATCAATATATTTCCAAATTTTGCCATGCAGTTCTCTAAATAATGTGTGCATTTCAGAAAATGCATGCATTACCAGAAATTCACAAAAAATACACACAAAGCTTACTGAATTTGCAGAAGTGTATACAATATGTTTATATTTAGAAAATGTGTAAAAAGTATACATAAAACTGCATACAAATGTTCATGTGGACTGAAATACAGCGATCTGATAGAGGACTGGGGCAAACAGAAGTTAGCCCTGGAATAATGAGAACCTGAGCAAAACCAGGCTTGGCAGATGTGCCCATCCCTAGTCTTACCTCTGCTATTCTTAACAGAGGCAAAGCCACAATGAAAGCTAATTTTCTAGGAAAATATTTGAAACACATGTTCCCGTAGTCAGACTTGATAATTAGTGGTGCAGGTGATGATGTGGTACAGGTGAAGATGGCAGTGCATGTTCTTCCTGCACCATGTGCTTTCGAGGCCACTGCCTCAGCTTTGCAAAGTGAAACCAGGAGGCAGTGGCTCCAGTGGAGATGGATCGTGCAGGATGAAGGACATTTTCCTCTTCCACCTCCTTCCTTCCAGACCACATGCCTGACCAATAGCACCAGTGCTGCAGGTGTGGGGGAGCAGGGTAGAGATCATGCCCTGTTGATGCTGCTTTGCAAAGGAGAACCAGGGGTTGGGCTTGAGACATGGTGAAAGAGGAAAGCATGCTTCCACCCCGAGAAAGGGAGAGCAGGCGAGGGCCTCCTGGCAAACACAGCGCATCCAGGAGACTGCACCACAAGAGAGAGCAGACTCCTGGTCTCTCCTTCAGGCTCTGCCTTCATAGCCTTTGGCAAGCTGCCTTAATGGAATTGGCTCATATTGATGTCACCACCGGTACAAGCTGTAAAGGACTTCAAGAACCGGCAGTAGCAACCTGGGGGCCTGCCCCTCTTGCAGAAGGGAAGATCCAAGTTGCCTCCTAGCAAGGAAGGTCCCTGTTTCATATTACAGAGAATGTATCTTACCAGCCTACCCAGCCCAGGGAATTTCCCCCTCTGGGAGAGGCAGCTGGCGCTAACTCTTCCCACAGATACCAAGCAGGGCTCACAGGGCCTGGGCCTGGGAGCAGCTGAACTAGGGGCAGTATTTTCCCAGCACTGGGGGATATGTGCAGATGGTAGGCAGGTGGTTCTCCACTGACCTTTACTTGAGACCTCCTTGCTCTGGTTCCCAGGAAGTCCTGCTTGCATCGATGCAGCAAGGGACCATTTCAGGATGGGCATATTGGGTTTGGACAGGGCTAGAAAGCCTTTTCCTTTGCCTGTCCAGCACTCCATTGATGCTTGCATACTGTGCCTGATAAGCCACTCTTCCTGCATCAAGCCACAGTGGTCAGTGCCCAAGCACCAGCTCTGCAGGAACCAGCGGTGGTGTGTAGGAGGCCTGCATGGTGCTCACAAGGCCAGGTGTCTGTGACATTATATAAAAATCTTTAAATGAACTGGTTTAGTCTGTGAAAATTGTTTACAACTTAGATGTCCCCACCCCTGTTTAAAATCTATTTTTGTCCTTGCCATTGGCTTACCTGTGTGCTATATTTTGTCTGTTCCAGGGCACAGAAAGGTGGACCAGTAAATCCAGTCTTCTCCAGGTGCTCATCTCAATCCAAGGTAAATTCCAGTAGGAGCAGGACAGTGTAGTCTTCAGCAAGGGACTGCTGGAATGCAAAATGCTCTCCTCCTGCCTAGCTGAGTTGTCCATTTGCTTTCTTTGTCCCGTAATTGCTTTATGTGACATTCCTGGAAAGGAAAACCACAGCCTAGATAGCTACCAGTCCACAGAACGGACTGCAAGCTGTCCCTGAGCAGGCTGTGAAAAGCCAACAAACAGCAGGCTAGCTCACATAGTGCTTATTTTAACACACATGGCTTCTTCATCACGCTTCTTGTCTGCAGGTGTGTAGTCTACCATGCAGCAATTAAATGCAATTAAGCACCCCAATATGTCATTACAGGTGGCAGGTGTAAGCACCTGCATGAGTAGCTGTCCATATGGGTACATTGTATTTCTCAGGAGACAATGATCTTCATATGTTCAGAGGACATAAGCAAACTTCTAATGAGGAGTTTATGGTTGTTTCATGATTTCAAGAAGGGACTGGCACCCTTAGCTATAATCATTCTCCAGAAGAGTTAGGCAGGGGTAACGAACCAGATGCCTTTGGGCCCCAATTCCAAGAAGCCGCAGTCAGCATATCCCATGGACAGCGAGTATGTGAGTTGTATTCCAAAAATTTCTAGAGGACACCAGGGTGCCTGCCCCTGGGAAACTTGAGGTGGCTTGGATGCCCTATCATAGAGAAGCTGTTCTAATTAGAATCCCTCTCCCCACCCCAAAAAGCAGCTCTTCAAGAGCTGGGTTTGGAAGACTGAATTATCCAAAACTTTGGGGTCATGAATGATGTGGTTGGGGAATTGTGCTCCCATAGTTGGGAGTTTCAACTTCAGTAAATGTAGAAATGTGGAATAATACCACCTTAAATTTGGAGCAATTGTTTTAGCTTCAGACACCACCTACACAAAGTTTACAAAAAGTTCTGGCTTTCTGCAAGTATGGTTACTATCCTCCTGCCTCTTAAATTCTAAAACATGCTTTCATCTTCCTGGTACATTTAATTGCTCACATTTCTTCTTTCACCTGTGCGCTATACTTGATCTAAGGCAGACCTCAGCATCAGGTGTGTAGCTTCCCATGTACATGTATGTATCATCACAATGCTCTAAATGCCTTATTCTCCCCCTCCCTCTTCTTTTTCCCCTTCTCCCCTTCCATTTTCTTACCATCAGGGCTTATCCTAGTCAACGAGCCTTATTACAATGAGGCTGGTTTTGACAGTGACCGGGGCTTGCAAGAGGGCTATGAGAACAGCCGGTGCTACAATGAGATGGCTTTGATCCGTGTCGTACAGTCGATGATGCAGCTGCTGCGCAAGCCAGTAGAAGTCTTTGAGCAGGAGATCTATGAGCATTTCTGCTGCAATGGCTGGCGCCTGGTGTACCGTATTGAGTCCTGGGTAGAGACAAATGAGCTGGTAGAAAGGAGTCATGACCCTGTCAACCTGGGAGAGTCATCCTTTGTGCACTCAGCCTGCGGCGTTCTGGCCGAAAGCCCTGTAGACAGCATGGGCCTATTGGGAGAGCAAGAGTTAGGGGCTGCAGCAGCAGCAGGTAGCCAACTGTCTGATGGCAAAGAGGAGCTGGAAGACTCTGGCTGTGGAATGTCAACGCTCGCTGCCAGTGACACCCATCAGTATTCAGACTCGGAGAGCATGGGCCAGCCCAGAGCAGCACACTTTGCCAGAGACCTGACAGATGAGGGTAAAGCTGTTCCAGACTCTGCTGCTCAGCCTAGTGTGAAACCAAAGAAAAGGAGAAAGAGCTACAGGAGCTTCCTCCCTGAGAGGAGTGGCTACCCTGACATTGGGTTCCCCCTCTTCCCACTGTCCAAGGGTTTCATAAAGAGCATCCGTGGTGTCTTGCAGCAGTACCGGGCTGCCTTAGTAGAGGCCAACATCCCCGAGTGGACAGAAGACAAATAAAACATCAGATTAGGAACAGACAGACACACAGACAAGAAGGGGAAGCAAAGAGGAAGGAAGAAGCTAGCAAAAGCTGTTAACAATAAATAGACTGTCTCACTGCACCCATTCCTCCTTGGCCTGGTTTGTTATAGAGAAAGCAGAAGCTCCCATTATTCGTTTTAGCCTGGCTCTTCCCCCTCCCCCCACATTCCAGATGCACAGGATGATTGAGCAAAACTATGCACATGCACGTGCGGACACATGCACACACATGCACACGCGCACACACACAATCATGTTTCCCTTCTGAGCATGACCCTGAGCGAATAGGAGCTGTGGCCTTTCCATTCCAGAAATTATGCAAAGCTGGAATTGGATTTTCTCAACTTCTGTTTGTACAAAGTCACTCCTCTTTCTTGTTTGACCCTCTTGGGTGTTAACAGATGATGATCATGTTGATGGGGAATGCTTTTGATTTAAACCTGGAAGATCCTTGCTTTACATCCACTGAGGAAGGTGTAATGCTGTCTTTTTCCTCTACCTTCTGATTTAACTTCACGAAAGCCTGTTGATTAGTAAGCACTGAATGGCCCACATTTCAGCTCTGCACCTGGTCTTAGTTGTTTTTACTGCCAATCTCATCTGTGTGAGCTAAGGGGAAGCATCCCCAGAAAACCTCAGAAGGTGTAGGCTTGGGACTTACTACACGAGAGCCAGAAAGTGATGGATATAAGCTGTTCTTCTTGACTGTCTAACCCCTCAATAGGCCACCTTAGGGCAGAAACTAAGCGCTAGCTGAGTTGTCCTTGATGGGGTCAGCACTCAGAACCATCGCTTTGGCTTCTGAGGATCACGTGCTGTCTGTCTTAAGTATACAATTTATTCTGGACAGCATCTCTCTTTCCACTTTGCCTTGAAGGGGAATAGTGCATATAGCATAGCCCACTACTCTCCTGGATACATGAACACTCTGCTACCAACTCAACTCTCTACACCAAGGTACCTCAGGATGGCGCTGAAACAATTGCATGGTGCAGCTACGTTTTTCACTTTCAACTTACACGAAAGCATTTGCAAAGTGACAGTTCTGTCTGACTTTATCTCCATGGACTTGTATCAACTATACAGCAACAAGCCTGCACTCTGGTAGAAAATGGGGTCTCTCTAGTCCAGCATCCTTAAGTAAAATCATCTCTTTTATTGTGAGTTGCCATTATTTTACATCCCCTGTTCAAGACTGTGTAGAACTTTTCCCAGCTATTTCCATGTGATACGACCAGTGGTGCTGCAGCAAGCAGAGGCTGCAGCAGCTTCATCGGTGAACTTCTAACCGATCGCATTTGGCAATCTGTTAACGTCCTTGCATCTTAGGTGGGAGTGCAGTCTACTCTTCGTTCATGGTTTCCTCCATCTTTGCATGGCATCACAGCTAGTTACCCTTGTATTTCCCATTCTCTGATAATGACCTAGTTGCCCCTCAGTCTTCCTTCCAGTAGAATACCCCGCTCACAGACACTGAGGCAAATGACATGAGTCTTGTGTTTACTCAGATAGTAGTGAGTGAGTTGTCTTAGCAGTGCAGATTACTCTGAGAGAGACAGGGATTCTCTAGCTGGCAGGCTGCTGTGTGCAAGCTATTGTGGCTGGGCCAGCCATGAGTCAGGAGAGCGGCCATGGCTGTAAAAGGGCAGCAGAAGAATCACGTTGATACAGTCATCCTGTGCGGGCAGGGGCCAGAAGAGGAAGGGGGGGGGGCTGTTGCCTGCATTGCCAGACACTGGTCGATTGTGTCAGAGGGTAGGCAGGGAGGGGCTGCGCCTGTTCCTGTGTGTCATCACATTCCTCACACAGGTCATGGTTCTTTACCTCCCCCAAAGAGAGGAGCTGACTGGCCACATACTCCATTCTGCTGATGTATGTAGAAAAAGCCAGCTTTCCCAGGCCGCCAGTCACACAGCTGCCCACCCAGTTTCAAGAGAGTTCCCCTGCCCCTTTCGGTAGGCTAGCGAAGTGTGGGGAGCAACAAAAACGGAAGGCCAGTGGTGCTACCGACGGCAATGAGCTGTGCTATAGGAGGACCTCCCTTTCCCTAAGTGCAACGGAGAGTTTTGTCTGGTCTCTTACCACGGGAAGAGCTTAATTAATCTTTCTTCATAGGGATCTGCTGCCACCTTTTGCATCGAGCAAGCACTGTCCCTATATCCTTGCTGACAGCCCCTGTGAGAGGCATGCACAGAAGTTTACATTTTATCCCCCTGATAAGCTTTTGGATAATGTGAAGCTCTCTCGGCTATGCAGTTGCTGGTGAGCACTCTGCAACTATGTAACTTTTTTGGTGTATGTATGTAATAAAGAGTGAAGAGAATTTCAGAAACAAATGCTTACTTAAACACACACCAAAAAGCCAAAGCATGAGGCATACTGTTAGTCTTGAGATGGGCTACATGATTGTGATGTATAAATTAAAAATCTCTATCTGTTAAGTGCTGGGGAGGGAAGGGGAAAGAAATATTACAAAAATAAAAATTTCTAGCCTTGATTCTGTACAGTATTTAAAACTGGAGCTGTCATATTGGGGCAATGCTTAGAGGTGTGTTACTTTTGCAGCTGTGAATGCTTGGTTGCTTACAATATATGTATAAAGTATTGTGTGATTAATCTTTTTTACTTGCAAATTTTGTTTGGCTAATTAAGATGTAGTAATAAAGGAGAGAAAGTGGCTTGCCATTATATTTTGCTGCTGTTAAGAGATTTGGTGGTTCTTGCTGTGTCTCCTGAGTAGCAAGATTTGTGTATCGCTGGAACTCTCCGAAGGGGTGTAGATCACCCGAAGAGGTTCAGGAAGGAGCAAGGTCCCTGCTCAGTCCAGATCTTGCACACCTCTTGTCAGGGACACATCTTCAGTTTGGAAGGTTTCCCTGGAACCTGTCTCTTTGAAGTGTTTCAGTGTATCCGGACCATTTTTTTCCTTTTTGCTCATGGACGGTCTGGTTCAGTATTATGTACCTTTGCAATACTTGGGGCTTTGATCGCATTTACATGACTGAGACACTATTTCTCAAGCAGACTCACATCGGTTAGTTGCAGCGTGATAGTTTCTTGCAGAGTACTTACACGCATATCCACTTGTGCACTCCTGTATACGTGACTGTTCACCCCTGGAGTGCTTTTTACCTTAAGATAGCACTTTCTGGGTATATATGCATATAAACTCATGCATGATCATCATTCCTCTCTTAACTTTTCAGAGCAGCCAAGGTTCAGCCTTGGAGTCTTCCTTTTTTGGTGAAGCAGGGGTGTACCACCTCCAGACTAGGGACCAACTCCAGCCCGTCTTGGGTCCCAATATTCCAAGAGTCCTCAGAAAGCCATGCCTATTTCCTCAAACACAAATTAGTTGGCAGTTTCCCAGTCTTTGTAAGTTTTACCCCCCCCCCTTCTGCATTTTCCCCCCCCCCCCAGGCTAGCATTTGCTAGAATTTTGGCTCTGTCCCTTTCGCCTTTGGCCCCCATCTACCACTGGGATGTGGCTGCTGAGAGCTTCCCCAACATGGAATTCAGCATTTGGGCTGAAAGAGGTTCAAGCAGTCTTGATCTAAAGGGATTTTAGAATACTGCAGTTCTGTGCACAGGTACATCCTCACATACCTTCCACTCAAGCCTAATCACCAATCACACCTCTTGCACTGAAACACCTAAGTTCACATGACGACTCAATAGCGATTCAGATCACACAGTGCTGACCTGCAGGTGGAGTGGGGCAAACCAATTGGGATCATTCGGTTATAAAGGAGGCCTAGTTCTCGTATACCACAGGCAAGATGGCTTGCATCTGGCCTGTATGTTAGCAGTAACAGTTCACATGATTTAGAAACATAGATTTCAAACACTTCTCCCTACTACTGATCCATGAAGTCGCCTACTGTGGATTGCACCCTTGTTATCTGTCATTGCTTTAAATAAGTACTTCAGTTAACGCTGGTGCTTCAAATAACAACCCCTGCCCCAGTAATAGTGTGAGTTTCTCAAGGAGTTTTTTTGGTAGAAGATAAGGTGATGTGAAAACCTACGTTTCTCCACCAATCCTGGCTTCCTTATTTTACAAAATGATGTGTTTACCCTTCAGTGCATTAGAGATTGGTTCTCCTATACCCCTATAGAACAGTTCGCTAGTCCTACCCATCTGTCTGTAAGCCAGCCAATTGTCCAGTTCTTCATCTGTGAAGATGGATTGTATGAGTGGAGACTACATGTGCTGATGTTTACATCTGGCCTTCTTATGTTCCATGTGCTCGTACATTATCCCTTGGAAACTGCTGTTACGTGGGACATCCTAGATTACCAGATGCATGTTGTATAGGCCTTCAAACCTGACCAATCAATTCAAGGGCCTAGACTCCACTAATTTTAATATAGACCAGGGGCGCAGCCTATTCTACATGCATTCATTATGTGTCGCTATTGATAAAACGTATAGAAATTCAGCCTAGGTTGTTAAAAAGTTAGGGCCTATGTAGTAGCCATATTATTGCTTACCTGCCCATCAAATTATCTCCAACTATGAATAAATGCCCTCCAAATTGACTGGTCTTTGACAATCTTGCTCAGGTCCTATAAACTATAGAATGTAGCTTCTTTTATCCAAAGAAGCCCTACAGTGCCTCAAAGTATCAAGAAATCTTCTTCAGGTGCTTTCAACTATGTGCAATACAAAATAAGGGTTCAGTTCTGAACCTGGGAAGTCTCAGTTCAAATTCCATTACCTATGCACAAGGGTTAATCTTTGTACAAAGTGTAACTGCTACAGCATGATCTCAAAACTAGCAGTAACATAAAAGCAATAAGGGATTTCAGTAGGGATGGAAAAATGAAACTGCTTTTCATGATAGAATAATTTCAGAGGTTCATCAGTCTTGCCACCGTGATGCTAACTTAACGTATTTTTTGCTCTTTAAGACGCACTTTTTTCCCCCTCGAAAGGGAAATGTCTGTTCGTCTCATAGAGCGAGTATGTATGTGCAGTCTGTCAGATGTGCAGCCCATGGGGAAGTGATGGGGAATGTGCCTGTGATTATGTGCCCATTTGATTCAGAATATTTTTTTCTTGTTTTCCTCCTCTAAACACTAGGCGTGTCTTATGGCCAGGTGCATCTTATAGAGCGAAAAATACAGTATGTGGGCCTGTTCTCACATGCTACCAAGTTGTGAAATCAGGATTGTTACGCACCTTACAGTTTTACTTTTTGTTACCTTCATCAGCATCATGATGTATGTATGATCTTTGGATTACAGCAGGGGTGAAGAAGGTGCTGGCCCTTGGCCTAGTTTCAAAAAACCTTCCCGCAAGCAGTGAGCTCAAACTTTGATAAGAGTAATCTATCGCTTTCCCTACAGCCTGCTGGAGCTGGGAGCAGATGGAATGCCCCTGCTCCCAGCTTTGGCCTGCTCACTACAGGCAACTGGCTTCTGCTGGATTATCTTGACAGAAAGTGGGCCTTGCTCAGAAAAAGGCTCCCTCTTCTGCTTTACAGGCACTTAAGGGCTACCATGGTGCATCTGAAGGGCTAGTAAGGGTTTAACACAAAGCAACTGCTGTTGAAGTCCTTATTTTCCAAAGACTCCTACTATACCTGCGACACTCACCTTGTTAGTGTGTGTACAGCAATCTGGGTTCTTTACTGGTGGGAACTTCTGGCTAAAAATATGCTTTTTTCCATCTGACAAGTTGCTTGTGATAGCATAAGACTTTCCTTCGGCCAGTTTCATGTGATTTGCCTCTACCAAACAAATGGTAACTGTAGAAAGATGGCTGCACATCATCCAGCCACTTTGGACAGTGGAACTTGGCCAGCAGCAGGCTACCATCCTGCCATGTTGTATATGTTAATTCTGATTGTGTATAAGAGACCACATATAGATGCCAGTTTGGGCTATAAAGCTAATGAAAATAGTGTGTGCACCTTCTAATCTTCCAAAATGAAATATGTTGGTAAATTAGCCTCTCATACAGCTGATGTCCCTTCTGCACAAGAAAATCAGAAGGGTTTGTCATTTGAATAATCTCCATGCATGCATGCATGCATGCACACACGCGCACACACACACACACACACACACAGGCATGACCCTGTAAAGAGGACATTGAACTAAATGGTATCTTCAGAGATTATTCCTCTTCCAATAAACTGAGCAACCCAACAGCAAAGTTACTGTTACCATCACTATGAATTGAAATCAAATTGCCATTCATAGTGCTTTCTTTTAATGATATTTATTGCATTTCTTCGTAAGAATATAATTTGTTCCTACCTATAACTTGAGGGATGGGGGAGAGTTACCAAAGGAAAACCTCTTATTGAACAATGGGATCCAGCCATTTTTATCTGGGCAGCCACTGCATTCGAATGTCATCTTATGCTCTGCTTCAGCTGCTTTGTGTGAAGATTTTCATCTTAGGAAGGAGAGTAAAACCATCCTGCAGAGGAGTTGGCTTTGGTTAGCTTTGGAGACCTACTTTCTCTCGCTAGGGCTCTGCAGAGAAGGAACATTCTAAAGCTGCCATTTTTGCTACATGATAGCTGAGAGCAGACTTAAGACTATCACAAGACAGGCTCAGCCATTATTCATATTGTAATTAAATAATTACTCCAAAAGCCAAGTTGCCCCTGAGAATTTGCACTGGCAGAGATGGTGCAGATGATGATTTGAAAAGGTGCAGCATGTGGGAGCCCTCATAACTCCCAATGCTGTAAAGCCCTTTGCTCGAGGATTGGCATTGTTGCTGCTTTCTCAAAGGTCCCCAGCCGCCTCAGGAGCGGCTGATAACGCGGGCAAGCCGACGGTGAATTTGCCCTTGCACTGGCTCACATGGCAGCACTTCACCATCCACTGTCATAAGGCCTTTGGGTTCAAGGGGCTCAAGCCTGAAGGCTTTCGCAGCAACACAGTGGAGGTGAGGGTTGTTGAGGACCAGGAGGTTCCCTTTATCCATGGCCCTGAAGAACTTCACCATTCCCATCCGGGAGACACCAGCACTCACATAGAAGAGGTGGATAGCATCATCATACAGTTTGGCTGTGGGAGCCAGGAGGAAGTCTGCTCCTAGGTGGGAATGACAGATGCCAATAATAGAAACAAATTCCTCCTCAGGTACTACAGTCCAGTGTTTGGGAACGGGTTGCTCAAAGGGTACCAGCAAAGGGTCCTCAAGCAGCGACACAGGTGGGGTCTGGACGTGAACCGGCGACTTCCTCTTGCTGAAGGAGGCTTGGCAGGTGCATTGTGCTGATGGGCAGCTCTCTTCCCCTGCAGGGGCTGAAGAGTTCATGCCAGGGCTCTGCTCGTCAGCTGGCAGGTAAGAGAGGCGGCCTTTGTAAATTTGGAGGGTGGTCAGGAGCTGGACGGTGCCCACGGTAAAGCGAGCACTGCCTAGTCGACGGTATCTCTCACTGGCAATGTCCACATCAGACACAAAACCCCATCCAAAGCTGAGGAAGGAGAACAGCCGCTTCCCCGAGGCCATGCGTAGAGACACCAGGTCCATGGGGGCATGCAGGCCTTTGCAGAGGAAGTAAGTGCAGTTCAGCAGCAGCTCCTCCTTGCTGTGGCAGTGCTCTCTGCAGCAGACATGGAGGGGTGGGGGGGGGGGAGAGAGAGAATATGAGGCGGCATTTCTGCACAAGGCTAATGCTGAAATGAGTTGATGCACGATAGACCAGAGTAAAAGAGCTAGTCATGTCAAGTCCTACACCTGGACTTCCAAATCCCAACATGCACGTTGATCTTGGTGGCAGGAGCATTTCAGAGCTGACATTCAAAAGATCTGTAGGTCTCCTTTCTGCCAGCCCTCTGACACAGTGGCATCAGTTCTGAATGCACTGCAGACAGAAATCATGGTCCAGAAAGCATCCCTGGCACAAAAACGGTTCCACACAGCTCAAGTCAGCCCTTAATTGATTTTTTTAAGCTTAGTATTGAATGGAAGCGAGTGCTTCGAAGTGTCAGGGTGGCAGTCAGAAGTTAAAAGATGTTTGTCTGTTACTGTGAGGAAGGATACAATATACCTGACCCTCATTTATCATTTGTGTCTGCTAAAGAACAGTTCACACAAACTTTAACCAAAATAAAATGATGCTGGTCCTGACATCATTGGCATGCACCCACCCACACAGTGCACGCTTGTGATCGGTTCTTCAGGTGATGCTCGAGGGCAGGTCTCAAATAGGGGTTGGAGGAGGTTATGGCAGGGACTGGTTAACCTGGAGCTTTAGCAAAGCTGCTCATGGATATCTGGGAATCCAGAAGAACTGGGCCAGTAAAAGTTTTCGGGGAATCAGAAGTCTGAGGGTTCTAGGACTCCTTTCCCTGGAGAGTGCGTCATAGCAACAGCTGTAGCTCAGATGTACACTTCAGGCATAATGGAATCCGAACAAGTGCTGTGACAGAAAAATAAAACATGGGCTTGCTCCCATCCGGGTTCGCTGCACGGAGTGTGGGGGCACAGGGCACAGGTGTGCTACAGAGAGACGACGATGCAGCAGCAAGGCGACCTTGGGAGAGCGCCTCTCTGAGGCTCTTCACTGCCACTGTCACCAGCTGCTGCTGCACCGCCACTTGCATGCTCAGCAGCCAGAGGCGCCTACTACTGCTGCTGCTGCTGCTGCTGCTCCTCCTCCTCATCACTGCCGCCGGCTGGGCCAGAGCAAGTGCAGCATGAACAAGCAAACTGCACTGACAAGGAGCAGCAGCAAGCCCAGGGACCTCGTGCCCACGGGTCCCCGCCAGGAGCCAGCCAGGCGTGCTCTTGGCCCTGGCCTTGTCCAGTACACTTGCTTCCCCACTCTGCTCGCCAGGCCCCAGTTGTGTAAACAGAACCCTCTTCAGAGGGAATGCCTTTTTAAATTGTTCAGTTACAAAAATCAAGGAAAAAAAGAAAATCTAAAAAGGTATCTGTTCTCTTACATGAAATTTGAGTGAATCTATTACAAGGAATGCATGAAGACTATATATATCCCTTATATATCTTATGTATAGCCAAGTATACTACAAAGGTGAGGCAAGAATTCGCATGTGCAATCGGGGCTGCTTTGAATTCTTTGAATTCCCACTTGGCTGCGAAGCTCAATGGGGGTGTTCCTGGGCCAGTCACACACGTTCAGCCTGAGCAGCCGCACAGGGTCTTGTAGGGCCTAAATGGAGGACGAGGAAGTATATTCACCACCCTGCATTCACCGCAAGATGAACTTGCCAAAGGGCACCAGGTGAAAGCCCTGCCAGTGACCTTGAGCAGCGATCGGGTGAAGAAGTCCCACCAAACATGACGGAACTTACTGCCGAGCATAGATGCCTAGGGTTGCACTGCAGATTTCCATAATGGGAAATAGGTCAAAACTAAGCCATCGGGAGCAAGCAACAGATGCCACAACGCATCTTCATAAGTTTGCAAAGACACATCATTGCTTGCTGCAGGATACTGGCATTGTCACTAGCACAGATATGGCTCTCTTTCAAAATGATGTGACAAATTACTAGCTGTTGCGCCTGATGACTACAGAAAGGCCGCCTGCATCGGACTGAACTGGATGCCTCTGCTTACCTCTGGCTCACATGGTATTCCACCTGTCCTCTGAGGGGCACAGGTGGAGACGATCGCATTTTTAGCCTCGCTGTATTACAAGATGTTGACAACAAAAGGAGAGCTTGCTTTGGTACCAGCTTGCTTTTTAAGGCTGCAATCTTGCACTGCAGTTACTTGGGAGTAAGACCTATTGGTCAAAGTATGGCTTCCTTCTGAGAAAACATGCACGGGCCTGGACAGTGAGTTCAGTGTGCTGTTACTCATTCTCCAGTCGACCTCAACACAATCCAGGGCACATTTTCCCGGAGCTGCAGTCTGCACAGCCATGCCCACTGGGCCAGGCAGGGGTGGGTGAAAAAATGGCCATCAGGCTGGCAGAACACACGATGAGGGCGGTGGGAGTGCTCCCAGGAATGCTGCTCGGGGCCTGGCCTAGGCCTGGCCATGACTCTCGCCGCTCCTCTGGTGCTCATTGTACTGGGCCCACACATGTTCTCACAGCTTGATTTCCCTGCTGTGGAAACCGGAGAATTCAGCAGCAGCCGTGGCCTTAGATTCCTAAGGGAAGCCAGGTGGCTGCGGCAGCTTGACAGGGAGAGGAGGAGAGCCCCTTAGCAACCCCCTCAAGCCCCCTCATTCTCCCCAGCTTTAGAACGGAGCCCACTAGCAAAGGGGGCTCAGGCGCAGAGCAGATGGAAGCAGTGGCCAGCTGGGCAAGGGGCAGAGGGCAGGCTTGGGGGTGGGAGCCGTTGGTAATTTCAGGGAAGGGATCGAAACCTGAGCCAAGGACATGTAATTCAGCAATTTTCTCCCCATCCGCTCCCTTCTGGGCCATGGATGTTACTAGATACCGTCCTCTGCCAGAGAGAGCCTGTCAGAGCGAGGGCCTTGTGCTCTGCTGCTCCCGTCAGAAGGCAGAGGCGCGAATAGGCTGTGTTTTAGCTGCAAGACCCGGCCAAGTCACGGGCAGAAGGCCAGACAGGACCAGAGCGTTTCGGTGAGCGGCAGTTCCTCACCCTGCTCCATAACCGCCATACAAGATGCAGAATATGCTGCACTGCATCCAGGCTACACCTTCTTTGAGAAAAAGGGTCTCCCTTGCAGATGGGTTTTTGGGACCCCCACTCTGCCACATCCCATAAGTCACCCCATTCAGCAGGGTCTCCCGACTCTCTGTGGAGCATTTTCAGGGGGCTGGGAGCTACTGGGGGAAGTCCAATTCCATGTGATCTACGAGTAGCTCAAATCTGGGCCCAACCTCTTTTGTTCTTTGCAGCTGTGCTGCACAACTTGGCTTTTTGGAGCACGTAACTCGGGTTATAATCATGTAGAAATAAGCACTTGTATTATTTAACTGCACGAGTATAGGTGGCCTGAGCTGAGTGTGTGGCTTCCAAAAGCAGGCGTTGATCTGCCAGGCGTACAATGTGGCTGGGGTTTTTTGGCCGAGACAAAGCGATGCCCTCTCTGCTCACTGCGTCACCCTGGAAAGCCTGACATACAGGCTGTGTTCCTCACGCGGACCACGTTTTCCTCCCACTGAACCACCATACTGACCCCTCCTTGGACATGTAACTCTGCATATCCTGTTTTAAGGAAGTAGTTGCCATATAGTTCAGAAGTAGTTCAGAGAATTTTGAAGAGTGAGTCCTGGGCAGGGGAGGGTAGCAGACGTGTCCTACAGGGGCCCCTGAAATAAAACAAGCATGGCGACACCCCAGTTTCACTGAGTTTAATCCACCTTGACTAACCGAATGCCCTCCCGATGTGTCGGATGGGTATGTCCCCTGCTGGCTTGAGGTATGCTGGGGTTGCACATCTGGAGGGCACCAGGTTAGGCGAGGCTGAGCTAGATAATCTAGCAGGGAGGAAAAATGAAGGCCACGTGCTAGAAACCCATCAGCGTTCAGAATTCCCTGTAAGTGTAGTGCTGAGGATTGGGCCACACAGTAAGAGCCACTGTAGTGTGATGGTTAGAGACTTGAGGGGGGTGGTCGAAGCCCTAGTCTCCACCTGGTTCACTGGCTGACTTTGGGCCAGGCCCTCCCGCTTGGCCTAACATGCCTCATGGAGGGGAGGAGGGTTCTGAGTGCCACTAGGGCTCCCTGCAAGTGGGAAAAGGTGGGATACATTTGCTGGCTTCTCGACATTTGTGGACATGTGCTCACGTCCAGTGATGAGCTGGTTGTGTCCAGGGAGCTGCACATACAGATGTTTTATATTTTAAGTACCTCACTGAGCTATGTCTAAGGTTCTTTTTGTGGGCACACAAGAAGCAGGACCCTGCCGTGCAAAATTAGTAGATCATGCGCCAAGAGCCACGTGCACGTGGCAGTGTCAAAACGGCCTCTCTGACATGGCTGAAATTCACTGGAGGGTGAAGCTGAGGTGCAAAACTTGACAATACTATCCCATTATGGACAGGCAGCAGAACACATCTGTAGCCCCGACTTGTGGCAATATAGTGGCTTTTCAGCAAGCCCTTACCTAGCATAGTAATTGAGAGACGCGGCCAAGGCATTCCCAGAGCCTCCTGGAAGGATGCAAAGAGGCTTCTGGATCACAGACTTCCAGTCAGGACGCTCCATCAGTCCATTTATCACCTGCAATGGCACAAAGGTGGGAGCTGCTCAAAGACGGGTCAACGGAAACGCACAAAGGAGGCGTTTTGTAGCTCCGAGCCTGGCTTTCGTAGTAATGAAGGAAGGGTGCCACCAACATGGCTGGAAAGTTGAATGCTCTACCATGTGCTCCCAAGAGCCGACGGACAACATATAGCGGGAAGTGGGGACAGGCCTCCCCGTATATCGCCAGAAGTGCTGCATTTCATATTTCTGTAAGACTGTTCACCAACACTGCATCCTATTATGCATGTTTACTTGTGAGCAAGTCCCACTGAATTCAATGGGGCTCACATCTGAGAAAAATTCCATAGAACTGAATTGTAAGAGGAGGGTATGATTCAGGCACACCTGGCAGTCAAAAGCCATTAAAATTAACAGAATAATGAAAAAAATATTGTAGGTGGACTCCCCGCTACCCCGTCACACACATTCTCAAACTGCAGACAGCTCTGTGTCCTGCCAGTCCCAGTATTCAAGCTTTAAATTCATGATATTCAACATCCTGTTTGAAATTGTTTGCGTTTCACATTAGTAAATAATTTTTTTCTCTTCTGTTACTCTCTGCACCAGGTGATCTGCAGTTGAAAAACCTGTATGGCTAAAGCAACCCTGACGGGTGAGGTTGCCAATCCACCATCAACTCGTAACCCAGCCCTCCCCAACATGGCACTTGGACTTAAATGTCCATCAGCCCCTGCCAGAATAGCTAGTGATCAAGGATACTGGAAGCTGTAATCCAAAACACCAAGAGCTGTCCTAAGCCCTGCCGGCAACTGTGACCAGAGCAGAAGAGCAGGGCAGCTTGGCCGTATTTCGTGTCCCTTTCTCTTACTGCAATTGGCAGGAAGGAATTAACTGCAGCTGCTCAAGGACTGGCATAGTTCAGGGCCCGCGTGGGGAGAGTCTTCCGGGAACGAGGGGGCCAGGGGCTTCGGGTATGTGCCTCCAAGGTCTTCTCTGACCTCATTGGAGCTGTAATCTTCAGTGCCCTGGCACTTGCTGCCATCACCAGGCTGTGTGGTCTTTCTTGGTTGCCTCCACCATTTAGCGCCCCACAAGTGCCTTCCCCAAGAGACTGCACTGGTTCCAATTATTCTGCCGGATTTCTCAGCCATTAGAAGGCTGTTAATTGTTCTCAAGCATCTGTCCGTTCCCCCTTGCCCACCAAGCTCATGCCCTGGATGCCAGCTCTGCAATGCAATAGACAGAAGAGCTGCGGGGCCCCTCTGTTAATCATGAACCCACAAAGCGCAATGGGGCAGCCTCCGTTCCTTTGTGGTGGTGATAAGGGTGGGAGGGACCCTGGGCAATGCCGGGCCCCAGAGCGAGCACCTGCCCCGCTGCTTACCTCGTAGAGCAAGCCATCCCCAGCCATAGCAACCACAGCATCCCACTTGGACATGTTCTCCTCCTTCACCAGATCCCAAGCGTGGTTGTTCTTCCCTAGGGAAAAGATGAGAAACTTGCATGACTGGTGAGTGGCGTGGCCCTGCTGAGCTTGAGACTCCAGGAATGGGATCATCCTTGCAAGCTAGGCCAGCATGCACAGAAGGGGGGCACCTCTATGCTCTCTCTGTCGCTCTGGCTTTTCTGCACAAGGCATTTATGGTGCATTTCTCATTGCCTGCTCACAGGTGCTCTTGTGTTTCTTAGATGGCATCCACAACCCTCCCGTTTCACTTCTGTACCTAGCCAGCATCTTTGACAAGCCTTTTAGAGCAGGACAAATGCAGCACTGAGTTGTGAAGTTTCCTCTTGTGCATTTATGCGCTTCTGCTATATTGCAGTGCTGCCTAGAAGTTGCATAGTGGAAGAGCAAGAAAAGGAAAGCTCATTGCGCAATGCTCAGATCTCAATTCTACAATGCAACTGAAAGTGGATACAGCATATTAATAGCCTCGTGTAAAGATCCCTCTCTCTCTTGCCCTCACTCCCTCTCTGACACACACGCACGCACGCACCACACATGGGCACATCTGGCAGACAGGCCAAAAAGTGCCCTGCAGGTGATTCCAACATCAGGAAAGGCTGGCTGCCCACGACGGCAGCAGATCTCAGGTCAGAGCAGACACACCACGAGGCTAGCAGCCCACGCAACCACCTCACAGTGGCATTCCTCTTTTCCTCCTCCTCCAAAGCAGCTCACCCAGCAAGATGGAATGGCACATCCACTGAAGGACAGGAAGCTACACTACAGTTGAAGCAGAGGGAAAGTGTGCCAAAATCATTTAAAGTGGTGGATGCGGAAGTTTCTCCCTCTGTTTGGCCACCATTTAATGTGAAATGTGTCACGACTCTCTTGGTCAGTTTAACACGGTCTTTCCTGACCTAGTGCTCTTCATTTGCTGTGAATTACAGCTCTCAGGATTGCTAACCACTGGCAATGCTGGCTTAGGCTAATCAAAGTCAAAGTCCAAAATATCTGAGGGAATTAGACAAAGGAAGGCCAATTCAGCCTTTGCTTATGTTTGCATTTGTTTGGCGATAACGTTCTTTGGGCAGTACACAAGTATATCATGTTAAAACAATACAACCACCAGTTTCCAGGTAGTAATCTAGGGAGCCTGCTTTGGACTGAGAGCCGTTTCTGAACGGCTTCTGACATCAGTCTCACATTCAGGGCACAGCACTAGTCCAAGCAGGGGGTCACCAGGGCATGAGGCAATCACAGCCAAGCCATCTGCTCCATCGAGGGAAGGTCACCACTGGCGCTGACGAGAAGTGCCTTCAGCTGCAGAGACCACTCCAGCTCCTAATGACACTGTTGGATCAATAAAGTGCCACCGTGACCTGAGCCTTCTAAGGGGAGCATCACCTCCAACTAGAACTGAATATATTTGGGTACATGAGGCTCCACTTTCTGGATTCAGTCTGTTTGTTTGCCCTCCACCACTTTGTTGCCATGCCTGATGCAGGACCGAAGCACCCTCATGGGTGCCTGATGAGAGAGATGCTGCTGGGCGTCATTTGCACACCGGTGGTACCCCAGAACAAACCTCCACATCCTGCCACTCCTTTCGGATATGAAACTGCGTAGGAAAAAGAACAGGTCCCTGTGCAGCGATCCCCGGACATGACTGGCACATTTCAAGGGGTAACCACTGCAAGTGCCACTGCTGGAAATGGCCATCCAGGAAGAAGCAGAAGCCTCGCCGGCAGTTTCTCCCATGCAGCTAGCAGACAGCCTCTCCAGCACAGTGCCAGGCGTGATGGAAGCAAAAGTCACGGAGGGGCCCAAGGGAACCAACAGCATCTGACTGCTTTCTCTTGGCCAAAGCTAACCCCAGGGGGTGATTCAGGTTTCCTGGAATCCATTTGAAAAGGATCTGATTGTAATTGTGTGTTCCACTCCTATTAGCCTGGAACATTCTCACTTGAAGATGCTCAAGTGCCATCACAGGCTGTTTTCAAGCAGTGTTTTGGCCAATAAGTCAAGTACTAAAGGAAGCAGGCGTTTCAAATGGTGTAATGGAGCGGGGGGGGGGGCATCTCTGCTGCTGTTTTTCACTTCGTTTTGAGAAGTTTGTCCAAATCACTGAGATCGCCAGCAGAACAGATGCATGACAGTAAGTGCTAGTACTGTTGGGAGGGTGGATTTCTTTGGGTCACAGAATCACAGAATTGCAGATTTGGAAGGGACCATGGAAGGCCATTGGGTCCAATTTCCTGCTTTTGCAGGACACCAGCTTACACCATCCCACTCAGATGGCTGTCCAGTTTCGCCTTGAATGTCTCTAGTGTGGGAGAGCCCACCGCCTCTCTCAGCAAGTGGTTCCACTGTCATATTGCTCTGACAGTCAGGAAACTTCTCCCAATATCTAGCATGAACCAAGGTTATTGCAACCTGACCTGATTATTCTGTGTCCTACGCTCTGGCATGAGCGAAAAGAGATGACAGCCTCTTTGTGACAGCCTTTGGGGTACTTATAGAGGGCTATCATGTCCCCCCTCAGTCTTCTCTTCTCAAGGCTGACCATGCCCAGTTCTCTCAGTCTCTCCTCATAGGGCAGTGTTTCCAAAGCCCGGATCATTTTTGTTGCCCTTCCCTGCACCCTTTCTAATTTACCTGCAACTTTCTTAAATCTTGGTGCCCTGAACTGCACAGAGTATTCCAGGTGAGGTCTGACTAGTGAGGAGTGTAGAGGAACTACTACTTCTTGTGATTTGGAAATAATACTTCTATCAATGCACCCCAAAAGAGCATTTGCCCTTTTGGCAGCTCCACTGCATTGTTGGCTCATGTTTACAATCCACAATTACTCTGAGGTCTTTTTTCTTCTTTAGTTCTGTTTCACCATGTATTCCTCATCTTGTATCAATACCTTTGGTTGCTTTTTCCTAGGTGGAGGACTTGTCACTACTGAATCTCATTCTGTTGCTTTCAGCCCAGTGTTCAAGTTTATCAAGATCGCCCTGGATTGTCACTCTGTCTTCCAGGGTGTTTGCTATTCCACTCATTTTTGTATCACCTCTAAAGCTGAAAGCTGCTATGCAAGCTCAGGGATCTATAAAGTCCACATCTCTATTTCACTGTATCCTTTGCAGCTATCCTTTCGATGTGTAGAGTCCATAGTAGTTAAAGCATAGATGAAGGCTGGGGTGCCTTCACCAAAAACCTTGGCACCAAAACCAGTGCCAAGGACGCTCTCAAAGGCCACATTCCAGTGGAGCGTTGGGCAAAAGGCAGAAAGGGTTAAGGCTCAAAAGAGAAGCTTGTTCTAGGTTTAGCCTGTTCCTGCCAATAACCGAGACTTGGGATTGGCACTGCAACCTTATAGAATGGGGAAAACTGCACAAGAATCTGGAAATGACAACAGTTTGTTGGATGAGGAATGCTAGGAAGCCCCAGAAGGGCAAAGCGATTGAGCGCACCACCATGCAGCAAAACACACCAGGGCCAAGAAGAAGCTTGAGTGAGAGCGCCCAGGGGGAAGGGGAAGCCGGCGAAGTCTGGAGCAGAGCAGGGAGCGAAGGGCTGAGCACTTCCTGAGCCACCCTGGGACACAAATAGGCCTCTCGTCCTGTGGGGAGGAAGGAAGGGGACCATTGCAGCGGGTGGGTGGCGCTGCTTTTCCTGTCACCTTCAGCCAGGCTCGGCACTTACTTGTGACAAACATGCTGAATCCTATGTTGGCTTCCGCCAGCATGGGCTGGACTTGGGTCTTGAACAGATGCAGTGCCCGGCCAGACCCGCTCTGCGGGTTGAGCAACACCATCACTTGGCAGGACTGAGGGAGCAGCCCATGGAGTGATCCTGCATGGAGGGACAAGAGAGTGCGAGAGAAGGAATTAGTGCTGGGAGTACAGTGAGACCTTCGGGTTCAACACAGTCCTACAACACAGTATTCTATGCACAGAAATGTAGAAGTGCATGTCTACTTATCCGGGCTCTAAACATTTCTACCCCCAACCCCACCCCACAAAAACCCACAAACATTCATTTGCTTGCCCTACTGAAGGAGAGCTCCATAGTTTAAATAAAAATAGCTAATGCTCAGGGGAAAGGCAGCAGCAACCACCACTGGAGCAAAGCCCCTTCCTAGTGCTGTGCGCGCCCAGGCCTTTGAGAACGGCACAGCTCCATTTTGCTGATACTCAGAAAGAGACATGTGTGAACGAACGAGAAGGCAGGAGCTGCAAAGAAAATTGTATATAGAAACATGCCTCAGAGTGGCAGGACTTGAGCCTTCGTTCTTTCAGGCTCTGTCTTCGATTGGCCTTACTCAAGTTCGAGCTCGTTTTGTGTGAGTTGTTGGTCTTGTTGCAAACCAACGTAGATGATTTTTAGGGAGAACCGCTTCTTCCCCACGGAAAGGCCTCCAGGCCTTGTCTCCCCTTTCAGCGGGTCGCCCGCCCAGCTGTGGGAGGCCCCGCTCACCTTCCGCCCCAGCAGCTCCAGGCTCTCTGCTCCGAGGAGCCGCTCCGCGAGCGCCGCCTGCAGGCAGCTCCGCGGAACTGCGGCGAGGCGCCCCGTGGCGAGCACACCCTCCCCCACCCGCGCTCTCTCTCGTCTTCCCGGAGCGGCTCGTTCGTTGCGCAGGAAGGAAGAAAGTAAGTAAATCAGAAGTTTTGTTTACACAACATTTGCAGAGTATGGTGGCCCTGGAAGGAAGCCGCTGCGAAAAGCGTCTAAATTGTGAAGGTCTCTAGAATGCGATGTTAGAAGTCTCTAAAATGGTGTGGATTTGAATGGTCAAATGCAGCCCTTAGTGAATGGCATCGGATCCAAAAAAAATCTCTAGTTCAGACAGTAGCCAAACTGATTTCAGAGGATGAGTGAGGTGAACTGTAAGATGACAGAAAACTTGGAGTCCATGTCAATAGGGGCAATTCCAACTTTAGAAAAACAAAAATCTGTATTTCAGATAGCCCATTACTGCTTTTTAACACTGCTATTATCACATTGCATTTATATCCCACTTTTCTTCCCCTTGCAAAGAAGCCAAGGTGTCTCACAGGCTTCTCCCCCTCTCCATTTTATTTACACAACAACAACCCTGTGAGGTAGGTTAGGCTGAATGGCAGTAGCCAGCTCACAGTCGCCCAGTGAGCAACATGGCCAGGTGGAGCAGGACCCAGACCAGAGGAGACGACAGACCTCCATGCACCAGCTGCTGGGGAACATGAATGGGAGGCTGCTCCTGCTTCCCCTGGCCTCTGGTTGCCACCATAGGAACAGAATGCTGGTTCTGATAAGCTTTGGGTCTGATCCAGTACAACTTTCCTTGTATAACCTTCACTGCAGCTTATTAAATGAGTGACCAAAACTGACTCAAATGCATAGGATTTGAATGCCAGCCGTCCCCCCAACATTGTACTTAAATCTGAGGCCCACAGAGCCAAGCTTAAAGCTTGTTAGCCAGTCATCCATAGCAAAATTAATGATATCTCAGAGTTCCGCAAAGAAAAGCAGTATCACCACTCTGTCGCCACCTTTCCCATCTCCAGCAGACACAGGAACTATGCTAAGCACTAGCGTTGCTTTGAGAAAGCACTGTCAGAACCAATTAGCTACATGTCCCAATTATTTTCCAGCATGTTGGCTGCTAAGCTCCAGCTGACTGCTGCATCTTGAAGAGGGGCCATTTCAGGCTTCGCTTCTGTACTGGTTAGAACGACACTCGCGTGCAGTGCAGTGCTCCGAAACTGTGCGCAACATTAACAATTAAGGAGAGGAGGCTGACGCTTGTGGCTTCAAATACTTCCAACTCCCAGTAAATGTCCAGCAGCCATGCGAGGAAGTAAAATCCTTAATCCGCCTCTCCCCCAGTGGCTGAAGAATCCTTCCCCCCATTTATACGAGGCTCACTAGTCAGCCCAAAGCAATGCCGCTTTTACAACCCTTGCAGGGCTCTTCCAACTGATGGAAGTGAAGCTGTGATCATGCCCAAAGGCAGGGGTGGGCAATCCCCCCCCCTTTTAACTAGATACCCAGGGTTCACCATTGGAACGTGGGGCACAAGACACATGCTTAGATTTAATGAATTCTGAGCTGACACAGTCTTTCCACATAAAAAGCCACCCCTGGTTACCCTAAGCTTGCTTCAGATGTTCAGAATAATTAGGGTGCGTTCAACAAGTGTGAGTCAGAAATCCTCGCAAAACTACTGCTAGTCAGCGAGAGAGGTCTGCAAGGATGCTTTGCTACACCTTGGCCTCTGAAGAAGCTGGCACGTGGCAAAGCGGGGTCCTGGGTGATGCTAGGCCATCCGGCACATCCCATAGCAACAAAATGGCATCAGAGTGCTGACCCAGAGTCACTCAGCCTACAGAAGGCTGGTGGGTGGCAGTCATCCAGCCTCCACCTGCTTTGTTTCCCAATTTTCTCCACCCCTTTCTCCCTTGTTAGATTATGTGCAGATCTTGCAGATCTGTGGAAGAATAATCCAGCCGCCTTTGGATATACAGTAGCTCACAGGCTGGGACATGTTTACCTCCTCAGAGCCACAGGTGGAGGAGGTCAGGCGGCTCATTATAGGCATGGGCACACTGCATGGGCAATGCAAAGCTGATCAGGTGCAGGGCAAGGACAACGTGGAACGCGTGTCACAACCTCTGGAGAAGCTCCCCAGGAGGATGCAAGGAGGGCATGAGCAATTGTCTTTCTGGCAAAATGAGAAAACTGCCCCCAAAACAGCAAGAACCAGGCAAAGGCTTCCATGAAGGGCCTGAAGATTTGCATTTAACAAAGATAAAGACAAACTTTTCTACAAATAGCAGTGAATAATTAAAAACACACAACCAGCCTCATAGCAGTCAGTGTCAGCAGCACTGGCGAACATAGCAGGGAAGCACCTGTGCTTCCTGGAATTCCACCGGAATGTCTTTCAGTCTTTCACGCTGGAGTCATTTCCCTTCTTGGGTGTGGCTCAGTGATCCCATCCATCCCAGAAGCACAGAATACCTTTAAAGCTATTCCAGGAGCACTGGAGGGAGGGAACCCAACACAGTCTTTTAATATGCTAAAACCGAACTTTTAAAAGGGTTTAATCATGCTCAGTCTGGCTTCTGACCTCAGGATGGAACAGAGCTGGAAAGTGTCCCCTTGACTCCTTCCGCCCCTCTGTGGCACCGCATTTCCTTGCTCGGGCTGTCATTTGACTGGGTTTGTTTCTTTTTGTCAGAGCAATCCTAGAAGAAGGGCTTTGGAGATGCCTCTCAGGAAATTCAGTATGGCTTCCAAAGGGGCAATTCCGTCCACTGTGAAGGAGCCCGTCGATGGGAGGCAGACTGCCTAACGCCCCATTCCAACAAGGCATCCCCAAAGGATACCAGAGCTGACAGTGCTGAGCACTACTGGGGAGCACTGAGGAGCCCCGGCTGCATCCTCTGGCACGGGTGTTCTATCAGGACAACCAAGGCACTTTCGGCCATAAAGCCCAGTTGATTTGCCAATGTTGTGTTTGGCAAACTGGTCTCAGGGGGGCCAGTTGAACGGTCCATAAGCTGGGATGTCCTGGTAATCTAATTTATAGAGAACAATCCTCTACTGGAAAGGTTTCCAGAAGACACTACTCGATTGGAAAGTGTCTCTCATTTGATCTAAGTCTGTTCTAAAAATAAAGAACGATCAGACGCTTCCCTCCACTGCTGTTAGCTCCTGACAGCAGACTCAGTGAGGCGCACAGGTTGCCTGCTCACATTTCTATATAAATTATTATTTCCAAATACGCACCTATACATATAAATTCGCACATACAAATCATGTGCAAATATGTGTTCATTTCTGTCCTCTGTTTTAACAGTGCATTAATAGCCACTGCACTACTGTGGCAGCCCAGACTGCAAAAGCTTCTCACCACTCCACTAGCCAAAACCTTAGAGGTGCAATTGTGGGGCAGAACTGAGCTTTCTTCACCCATGTACATTAACATTTGTTGACATCCCTCAGCAAAATGGCTTCTGTATCACCCTTGGGATCACCTCTGTCAGCTCAGGGATGATGGTTGGCGTGGCTGAGAGAAGATAGCTGCCCCTTTCATCAAACCAGGCCCAAATAATACCTGTCAGCTCCTCCAAAAAGAGGAGCTGACAGGTATTCAGCCAAATTGTGCCCAAATTGTTTTCCCATCCAGTGATCTGGCATTCAGTAAGAGCACCAAGCAACTCGACAGTCTGCTGTCAGGCCACGCAAACAGTGGTGGAGCTAAGAAATCCTGAGCCTTGGGGTGCCAACTTATGCATGCTTAAACAGAAAAAGGTTCCGCAATTCCCAGTGCTGCTGACTGGAGGAATACGGGGAATTGCAGGACACCTTTCAGTCTGAGTATGTATAGGATTGCATCCTCGATTACCAGGGAGACGGCAGGCACTTTAGTTGACCAGGCGCATTACTTTTGTCGTAAAGCGTACACAGCTAATGCTTCTTTTCTTTTCTAACCACCACTGCTATTTCATGCTTTAGAACTGCTTTGACTTTCCCAATATTCTAGATGCACTTGAAGAACAAGACTCTCTTCCAAACCTGTTATTGAAAGAACACTCCAAACCATGTACAGTTGTTGAAATCAAGGGCACAAAACAGCATTCTCACGACTAGAGGAGTGTGCGTCTGCTGCCATGGTGCGCTCATCACTTACTACTCTCTGGGTGGCATATTCCCAAGGGGGGAATGGTTGGACCCAAACTCTGCCCCCCAAATCCAGCCATAGCTGCACCACAGCAAGTGGCCTGAGATTGGAGCAGGGGACGAAACAGAAGACAGAGAGTTGCATGGCAACTCTCCGTCCCTGAATGGACTCACCCAAGTGTCTC